GTTTATTATTTATTTAAAAAAACATCTAAACAAGTTTTAATGTACAATATGCATTCTTTTGTAAATATTAATATTAAATGGAAATTTTGTTGTTTTTTTAGGCTGTATATAAATAATATTTATCCCAAAATTATTTGCAAATTTAAAAGTGACGTGTTAAAAGAAGTATCGCAAAAAATTTATTAAATTTAATTGTTACTATAAAATCAATATTGGCGTTAATTGATCTAGTGGCCAACTGCCAGTTTAAAGTTTGTTGTGTTTTTAAATACATGCATACTTGTTATAATTGTTAAATAATAATAAAATTATTAGTGCATTGATAACTATATAACTTCATACATACATATTAAGAGATTTTAAATAGGTTTTTTTTCGAAAAAAAGAGCAAAATTGCCGCAATTTCTTTAAGAAAACCTTTGAATGCTATTTAATATACACCTATGTTATATTTGATTAAGTACAACATAGAACTAGCTTAGCTCAAAAAATATAGATTTTTGGTATTTAATGTCTAACACTGATGTTAAAATTTCAGTCCTTAATCAGATATACCGGAAACCCGTGCGGGAAATACTTGGTAGCTAGGGAAGCTTAGTAGTTGGTTATGCTACTTAGCTAGTTAGTTAGTTAGTTAGTTACGTCGTTTAGTTAGTTCGTTCCGTTAGTTAGTAGTAGTTGCTGGTTAGTGTTAGTTAGTTAGTTTTAGTTAGTGTTAGTTAGTTAGTTAGTAGTTAGTTAGTTAGTTAGTAGTTAGTTAGTTAGTAGTTAGTTAGTTAGTTAGTTAGTTAGTAGTTAGTTAGTAGTTAGTAGTTAGTTAGTAGTTAGTTAGTTAGTAGTTAGTTAGTAGTTAGTTAGTAGTTAGTTAGTTAGTAGTTAGTAGTTAGTTAGTTAGTAGTTAGTTAGTTAGTTAGTTAGTTAGTAGTTTAGTTAGTTAGTTAGTTAGTTAGTTTAGTTAGTGTTAGTAGTTAGTTAGTTAGTTAGTAGTTAGTTAGTTAGTAGTTAGTTAGTTAGTTAGTAGGTAGTTAGTTAGTTAGTAGTTAGTTAGTTAGTTTAGTAGTTAGTTAGTTAGTTAGTTAGTTAGTAGTTAGTTAGTTAGTTAGTTAGTTAGTTAGTAGTTAGTTAGTTAGTTAGTTAGTTAGTTAGTTAGTAGTTAGTTGTTAGTTAGTTAGTTAGTTAGTTAGTTAGTTAGTTAGTAGTTAGTTAGTTAGTTAGTTAGTTAGTTAGTTAGTTAGTTAGTTAGTTAGTTAGTTAGTTAGTTAGTTAGTTAGTTAGTTAGTTAGTTAGTTAGTTAGTAGTTAGTTAGTTAGTTAGTTAGTTAGTTAGTTAGTTAGTTAGTTAGTTAGTTAGTTAGTTAGTTAGTTAGTTAGTTAGTTAGTTAGTAGTTAGTTAGTTAGTTAGTTAGTTAGTTAGTTAGTTAGTAGTTAGTTAGTTAGTTAGTTAGTTAGTTAGTTAGTTAGTTAGTTAGTTAGTTAGTTAGTTAGTTAGTTAGTTAGTTAGTTAGTTAGTTAGTTAGTTAGTTAGTTAGTTAGTTAGTAGTTAGTAGTTAGTTAGTTAGTTAGTTAGTTAGTTAGTTAGTTAGTTAGTTAGTTAGTTAGTTAGTTAGTTAGTTAGTTAGTTAGTTAGTTAGTTAGTTAGTTAGTTAGTTAGTTAGTAGTTAGTTAGTTAGTTAGTTAGTTAGTTAGTTAGTTAGTTAGTTAGTTAGTAGTTAGTTAGTTAGTTAGTTAGTTAGTTAGTTAGTTAGTTAGTTAGTTAGTTAGTTAGTTAGTTAGTTAGTTAGTTTAGTTAGTTAGTCGTTAGTTAGTTAGTTAGTTAGTGTAGTTAGTTAGTAGTTAGTTAGTTAGTTAGGTAGTTAGTTAGTTAGTTAGTTAGTAGTTCCGTCGTTAGTATGTTATTTCACATCATGTATAAACTTTGTAGCTCACTTTCCACAGCATTGTTTTTTGAAAAGCTTTTTGATAAAAAGTTTTTGTCTTTGCTAAACAGTAATTTTTGAAAGCTTACATACAGGCATATGTATGTGAGCCTGCATGTATACACATGTAGAAGCTTTCTTTATAGAGAAAGACACATAGAAGCGAAACTCAAAAAATAACTAAAACAAAAAACTCAAATATTTACAAATAAAAGTTTTGGTTTCTTTTCAAATAATTTTCTTTACTAATGCGTTTTTACCATTTTAATTTTTTACAACAAACTTAAGTCTTTGGCATCAGAATTTCGCCTCAATGTATTACTCTATATGTGTTGTATCATTCTTAATTTATGCTTTGAAATTTCTTCTTTCATTTAGTGATAAGAACGAAACTAACCACAACAAAACACAAGCAAAACAAATTCATTATTAATAAAATTACAAATTTATAAACAGTTTATTTACTTAAATCAATAACAAAACATAAATATAAAAACAATCTTTAAGTGCAATTAAATTTTATATAATTAGAGAAAAATCAATACCTACTACAAATACACAAAATAAATTGTTTGGCCTATAAAACGCCGTGAATAATATTATTTATAAACCATATAGTGAAAAGAAATAAATCCAATAATTTATCTTAACTGTGTCAGCTGTTTTTTGCAGTTCTTTTGTTGTGAATATTGTTGCTATTCAGCTTTTAAGAAATAACTTTAAAGATTTACTACTATTTAACTGTAATTTTTATCGTGTAATTTACAATAATGATTTGTAATAATATTTGTTTGTTTTTCTTATACATTCACTTATCATTAGTGGTTTTTTGTGTTTAATTTGATGGGTCATCATCATATGTTTTTTGTTAAATATTTTTTGTAATTTTTATTTAGTTTTTAAGATATTAAGGTTAAATTTTAAAGTTTTTTTTTGCCGGCTTTAGTTGCTATATTGGACATAGTTGATTTGCAGTATTGTTCGCTTACTGTATTCTTATATACACCAAACAAAATATGACACATCGGCGGAATGTTCGTAGATCCACGAAAGTATATTTATTCTGAGTTCCTATTACATTCTAAGATGATCTATCAATGCCCCTTTTTTTTATATTCATGGGCATAAATGGAGAGAGCTGGAGAGCTTAAATTTTACACAGATATTTTGAATTCATGTAGTTTATTTGGTATTGAACATCAGTCCACATTTAACCCTAGCCTCCTAGGTCCATCTTAAAAAGTTACTTTATCGTTCATAACAGGATTTAAGATACAAGTATTATGTTGAAATTTCACGTAAATAATATTTATATTTATGAATTCAAATATTTATACCAAATTTCATAAGAATCGGACGTTATTTAACCCTTCCCGCCATATAACCCCTGTTAAAGAACTTTTTTATAAATTGTTTAAAAATCAGAATCAGGAAAACTAGGAAAATAAAATTGTACGAATGCTTTCTTGTTTGAACAGATCCTGTTACTTTAAAATTGCATTATCATATCAAGTTCGAAAATCGAAATCAAGTTTTTATAGCCACTATAGTGAAGAGAATATTATGCTTTCACGCTGATGTTTGTAACACATAAAAATATTGATTTTACATCCACCTCTATGTATACCAATCGGCTCAGAATTACTTTCTGAGTCGATTACTCAGAAAATAAATCACATTTAATATTCCTAATTAGTGTAGGGTGTTCTTGTTTAGTATTATAATAGGTCAAGACTTTAGTCAAAGTTCGTCTAAAATTAACTATTTGCTAATGTTCTCAGAAGACCTATTCGTTAAAAGTAGTGTCAACCGTATAAAAAATGTGGGCGGTAATATCATGGTCACGCCCAGTTTATTTGCTGATCGCTATTTAAAACAATTTTTATTAAAATCTTTGTTAATAATTGCATATACATATAACAAAGATGCTTGTATTGACCACGCCCACTTTTAAAAAATCATATAATATTTAAAAACTGTTATAGTTAAAGTTTAAAATGTTGTTTTAAATCAAATGATTTTACTAAGTGAAAAGTGGGCGATATTATTGATTGATTGGGCATGGTTATCGTAATAATTATATTAGTTTTTTTGATATTGCTTTCTATAATCTCAAATATAGCATTAACATACGAAGTGGGAGTGGCGAATATTATATAAACGCCCCTTTTTCAATGGGTTGGTTCTAAGTCTTAAAGAGAACTTAATATGAAGTTTACATATACATACATACTTCTAGAAAACCTGAAGTGATGGAGAATCTTAAGCAATATATGGATTCAGTGAAGAGTGGTAGAGGACATGCTATAACCGCCCCTTTTTAATAGGGTGATTCTAACTTTTAAAGTGAACTTAATATGAAGTTTATACATTTTTACTTTTGGAAAACCTGAAGTGATGAAGAATCTGAAGCAATATATGATATACTTTGGTCTCTGTTTTAAAAAGTTATGTCCTTTTTTTAGAAAATAGCTATCTTTTTAATATCGATACTGTAATCATATTCATTTCAATATAGCCCCTAGGCCTTTCAGAAAAATTCCGAGTTATAACTACTTGTTCAAATATCCATCCATATAATTTTTAAAACGTGTATAATGTAATTTTAATAAAATTACAAAATAACGAAAAATTTAAATTATTTTAAACGTTTTAACTAGACTCTAAACATGCAACATCAGAAATACTTCCTAGTTTTTTGATTTTGTTTATGTATGAAGCGTAACCTATACGTCCCCCCTAAACGATTTTCAAAAATTAACTTTTTTTTCTCGGTTTGGCATACATTCCACAAAAGGACAGTTGTTTTGTTTAACAACTTTAAAATATGTAGTAGTTTTGGCTTAAAAAGCTGCTGTTTTCTCTGTTCAAAACTTAAAACTTACAAAAAATAAGTATTGCCACTTCTGCAACCAGCAGTCAGGTCCGTATATGTTAAAGATAAATTGTCTGCACACAACAAACCAACATAGTATAGTAAAGTAAATGTTGCTTAAACAAAAAATGAAAACATAAATAAAGTAAAAAAAAAAACTTAATTTAAAAGCTAAAAACAGATTCGGCTTAAAGTAAACTTAAACATGTAAAACACAAAATAACTAAATAAAAGATCAGTCGTCAGTGCGTGTTTAATCAAGCTGGCGAACGGTTCGAAACTAAATGTTATTTAAATAAAATAAAGCAAAATAAAATTAATCGCAACAGTATTAAACTTAAATATAGTGTTCATAAGAGATTAGAAGTTATAGTAAAAGCTAAATTTTGATTGATAACAAAAAGCTATTAAAATTCAAACTGTGATAAGACCCATTAAATAGTGATAAAACAAATATTATTTTGCAAATCATTAAAAAATTAACAAACAAACATGTTAGAAACTCAGGAATTACCACTGATTTCATACCTCTTCAGCATGGCGTGCATTTGTCAGTTATTTTCTTTGGGTATTTATTTTATTGGTATAGCGGCAGTGGCCCTTTTCTTATTCGATAATTTTAAATCGTTAATAAGCATAATAAAATCAATATTGGAACCGTATTTTCAACCTCATTTGCCACAAAATTTAGTGGATAAATATGGAAAATGGGCAGGTGAGAAATCATAAAATAAAACCTTGAACTGTGAAATGTTAAAGTACTATGTTAATTAAAGAAATCGAAACTGAACCACCTGTGTGTGTATAAATTAGAGAATACATATTTTGGAATATAAATAAATAATACAGTGAGTGACAAAATAAAAAAGAAATTAAGAACTTTGTTCTTTAAATTGTTTTTGCCTAAAATAGTAATCAAAAAAAGTCAACAGGAAGTGCATGCCTTATTTGGAATAAATTAACAAAGTACCTATATATATCTACTTATTATGAAAGTTCGTCTGAACCGATAGCTAGCTGCATATGCTAATGCACAATATACTGAGTCATAGGGCCTGTTTCTCTGAATTAATTTTCGTTGTTGTTTTCAATATAAATTAAGAAATGAATGCATTTAGAGGAACTGACCCATAGAATTTTTAACAATATTGAATACTGAGTACAAACCGAACACTGATTTATCTATTTTAAAATTATGAAATACTGTTCTAAAATTATAGAATTCGATTCAATATGCATTTTTTGGGCCGAAAACGGAATTGGAGTAGGTACGAACACCTAAAAAGTTCACGTAAAAGTATTATGCGTTTGTGCAGATGGTGCTTAAATGCCCATCGTATAGTATTCCAATAGGTTCTGAAATCTTATTAAAAAAATTGATTGAATATATCGGTTTGGCATAAAATCGTATATAAATGATTTATTATAAGAGATAATTGCTCTCTCAAAGTCTAATGCTTATACGTTTCGCATAAATATCGATTTTATAATAAAATTCAATTCTTTGAGAATATGTCAATGATTAACCACATTTGTATAGCATTATATAGTCGGTCGTTCAATACCGATATTTGAACTAATCCAAAGAAAAGTTTTTAAATCAAATCAAATTTACTCGTAACTATGCACTAAAAATTTAAAAATGTCACAAGAATTCAAAATTTCATTAAAAATTCGAAATTTTACTAAAAATTCAAAATTTCACAAAAAATTTAAAATTTCACCAGAAATTGAGAATTTCACCAGAAATTTAAAATTTCACCAAAAATTGAGAATTTCACCAGAAATGAAAAATTTCACCAGAAATTCAAAATATCATCAGAAATTCAAAATTTCATCAGAAATTGAAAATTTCACTATAGACTCTAAATTATAGATTCTATAATCTCAAAATTTAGTTAGTTAGTTAATTAGTTAGTTAGTTAGTTAGTTAGTTAGTTAGTAAGTTAGTTAGTTAGTTAGTTAGTTAGTTAGTTAGTTAGTTAGTTAGTTAGTTAGTTAGTTAGTTAGTTAGTTAGTTAGTTAGTTAGTTAGTTAGTTAGTTAGTTAGTTAGTTAGTTAGTTAGTTAGTTAGTTAGTTAGTTAGTTAGTTAGTTAGTTAGTTAGTTAGTTAGTTAGTTAGTTAGTTAGTTAGTTAGTTAGTTAGTTAGTTAGTTAGTTAGTTAGTTAGTTAGTTAGTTAGTTAGTTAGTTAGTTAGTTAGTTAGTTAGTTAGTTAGTTAGTTAGTTAGTTAGTTAGTTAGTTAGTTCGAAAGGAGGATTTATATATCCGAAGAAATACACCTAGGCCCCTATCGGGCTTCTTGTGACCCCCTTAAACATTGCATCAGGTGGGAATCGAACCTAACCAATCAAACAAAAAAATCGAAAATTCACTAAAAATTTCAAATTTTCTAATAAAAATTTAAAATTTACTAGAAAGTTGAAATTACACCAAAAATTCGAATATATTCGAAAAATTCGGAATTTCACAAAAACTTCAAAATTTCACTAGAGATTCGAAATTTGTCTAAAAATTCGAAATTTTTCTAAAGATTCTAAATATCACAAAAAATTAAAAACTTTAAAAAAAGTTTAAATTTCACTAGAAGTACAATATTTCGAAAATTTCACCAAAAAATAAATTCAAAATTTAACTTGAATCCAAAATGTCTACAGAAATTCGAAATTTATGCAGAATTTCACTATTCAGAAGAAATTATAAATTTCGCTAAATATTTTTTGTCAAATTCACATTTTCTGTAGAAATTTGAAATTTCACTAGAATTCGATTTTTTTCCGGAAATCTATTTAAATTTAAATACTTCCTATTAGTATTAAGTCTACAGATTTAATGGACCAAATACCGTTTTTATATGATAACAGGAATTTGTCAATTCCACCCATATTTAGTAAGTTGTTTAATAAAACCAAAATAAAGGTCAAGTACAACATAACAAATTCATTATCAAACTACTTAATTTAAAAAAACAACAACAATTTGATTGGGCCTTTAGGTTACAATATGTATAATTTGAATATTTGTTTAGGTAGCCTTTTCTAAAACATGCACTTATTCAAATTTTTTTGTAAAAATTGTGAAAAAAAATAACTTTAGTAAAAAAAGGTTGATTTATTGCAATCAGAAATGTTTATATATTTTTGCAGTTAATTTTATATAAACAAATAATATTTGTCAACATTTAATAAATATTTGCAAAGTAATTTTATAAAATAAAATACTGTTAATATTTGTTTATACAATATTTACTAAAAATGTTATTTAGGAAATGAAAAGTGTTGTAAGCGGGAAGAAAACTACAAAAGTTGAGTTTACAAGGTTTACTCGGTCTGTCCGATCGGTAAATTTTTTTCAATACAGAATTAAATATTGCAATTTTATAAAATTAAACGGTATTGAGATTTTTACATCTGATTTAATCGATAAATACTGTCTAATAGTATTTTAAATTTTCAAAATCTTTGAACATTTTCTATAAAACTTGAAGATGAAAGTGAACGATAGATAGATACATTACTAAAACTGTTACAGTCATTCACCTATTGGAAGAAATGAAAAACAACAATAACAACATTAATTAGTTTAAATGTGTTTTTGTTTTTTTTTTTTTTTTTCAAATCAAAACTTTTAAGCGATCAAACAGTATTAACCGGCTTTTTACGCTTCTCTTGTTTTAAACTGCATGTTTATGTTAAAGCGTTAATATCTCTTTTTTTTCTTCATTTTTTGTTTTGTTTTTTATTTTCTTAATTTTGTTTTATTTAAGATTTTTTATTATTGAATTTTATTTTTATTATATTAAGATTTAAGTTTATTATTAACTACATTTAGTTATTATTGCAGCTGCCAAAGTTAATGACCTTGTATTGTTTATTTTTTTATAAATTTTTTTAATTATTTCTATTAAAATTTACGCACTTAAATTGTGTGTAATTGTTTCATTTAAAATGTTAAGGTTTTATTACAATTCGTAGTAGTAATTAAATATCAAATTGTGCGATTTTATAAAATATAATAAAAAAACAAAAGGAAGAGAAAAAAATTCAAGTTCAAGATGTTAATAAAGCGAGTAAAAAAATATAATTTTGATGTTAATTATAATTTTATGTGTAACATGGTTATATTTAACTAATCAAGTTGTTATATTACTTCTATTAAGTTAAATGTTACTAAAAAAGTTCGTTACAGTTGGCTTCTGAAAGAAGCAGAAAAATATGTCATTAAAAGTTTTATTACGATTTCTATTTTTGCATAATATTAATATAAATTAAATGATGATACGCATACATCTATCTAATACATATTAAACAATATTTCCAAATTTTTTTAAAAGGTGTTCCAAAATTCACACTATAACTTAATAGCTGAAAATTTAGGATCAATAAAAATTGATATTTTAGTTGTTTTTGGATGGCTAAACGATTATTTTAGTAAAATTTCTACTTTTTTGTAAAATTTTTGATAAAATTTTATATTTCTTATAAAATATCAAATTTTCTAGTAAATTTGTCAAATTTTGAATTTCTAGTGAAATTTTCAATTTCTAGTGAAATTTTCATTTTCTGGTGAATTTAAAATTTTTAGTGAAATTTTCAATTTCTGGTGAATTGTAAATTTTTAATGAAATTTGTAATTCCTAATAAAGTTTCGAATTCTTCTTGGAATTTTAAATTTCTAGCGAAATCTTCTATTTCTAATGAAATTTTCAATTTCTAGTGAAATTTTCGATTTCTAGTGAAATTTTCAATTTCTAGTGAAATTTTCAATTTCTAGTGAAATTTTCAATTTCTAATGAAATTTTCAATTTCTAGTGAAATTTTCAATTTCTAATGAAATTTTCAATTTCTAGTGAAATTTTCAATTTCTAGTGAAATTTTCAATTTCTAGTGAAATTTTCAATTCTAGTGAAATTTTCAATTCTAGTGAAATTTTCAATTTTTGGTGAGTTTTCAATTATTAGTGAAATCTAAAATTTCTAGCGAAGTGTTTAATTTCTAGTTATATTAAACATTTAGAATTACAAAAAAAAAATTCTAGTGAAATTTCAGATTTCTAGTGAAATATATAATTTCTGATTTTTTTTATAAAACTAAGAATTTCTAGGGAAACTTCGAATTCAAAGCGAAGGTTCGAATTTCTAGTAAAGTTTCGTAGTTTCGATTTCTAGTAAATTTGAATTTCTGACGCCTCATCATCGTGTGTATCTTACACGCCGGTGGCAATTTTTGCACATGGTTCTGCCGGTCTATTTGCAAGCACTTTTCTCCCATACTCGAGCTATTTAATCTCTGACCATTGCTGCCCTGTTGCTTAACTTCCGAGATTCAAAAACATCACTTCTGTTTACAACCACTCAGATGGGATGGATTCTGTTGAGTAGGCAGCAGCACCTAAAGTCGAAACGCGAATCCATCAAATAAGACGAGGTCATTGTTCTTACTCACAGAGAACACAATGTGTTATATTTGGTATGAACCGAGTAAAACCTAAACTTACCCTGACAAGGAAAGAAAATTCAATGGCATCACTTGTATAAGATACCTTTCCGACACACTCACTCTAGGTATACGGGCGGGCAAGAAACGTATACCCCTACATTCATCCTATATCATATATACTTAACACCAACTTATTTCCAACACCGAACCGAACTTATCCCGAATTATAGACTTTACCGTGCATCAGTCTTTTAACCCACATTCTCGGTTACCGACATTTGGGTTACTTTTCCAATAACCGGGACAAGATATAGTCCGCAAGTGTGCCCTGCGGGCTACCGGTTCCCATGGCACCGCATTATGTGGTTCTCTGGTTCGAGCCCATGTCAAATTATTTCAAGAAAAGATTGAGGATACATTTGGTCATCACCAGTTTATAGTCCCGGCAGACTAGAAATGGGGTCTTTCAAGGGCGTGAACAACAAACGATTCAAATATAACCTTCATGAAAACCTACCAAAAGTGAACAAATATTTGTACTGATTTAGAAAAATTTTAAAGCGTTCACAGTCTGCTGGTAGCGTAAAGAGAACTAAACTAAATAATATATTAAGTCTCTCAAAGAAGTTGCTGTTGTCAAGTTTGACAAATCGTGGTTATTGGATTTCCTTCTGAAACGAATCGATATTGGTACTTTGCCAAACATAAAAGTCCTGAAATATTCTAATGTTTCGCTGTCAAATATCATGTCGAAATTAATTTTACGATAAACTAGTCAAATTTGAGAATCGCCGATAATATTTCAAAAATAGATTCCCAACAATAACTTTGCATTATAGAGAGGAAACAAAAAAGTTTGTTGTCATCTGTAAAACGACTTACAGCAAATTCAAAGGAACGTTAAGATTGTATTCGAAAAAAACAGCTAATGAAGTTAATATTATCTTAAGAAGTTTGTCAAGACCATAAAACTATATGCAAAAAGTTTTGAAACTATATCTTGGACCTGTCCTCACTGTATTTTATCATAGTTATTCGCTTCAAATTCAAAACAAATCTGTTTATTTACACAACAAATCACTCACATTTGTATATATTATGCAATTACATTAATATTGCATACAATTTCAAATGTTGTATTTTTTCAGTTAATCTTACAAATAACGTAGTTTTTATACATTTATTTAACTAATTAACATAAAAGCGTTAATTACTATAGTTTTTTTTCTTTACATTAAGTTGTGGTATTTAAATTTAATGTGTTTAATGATGCTGATGACAATGATGATGTTTGTGGTAAAATCAGTTGTTACTTTTTCTTTTACTGTTTATTATTTTTTTTTTTCTTGTCAACAGTTATTACCGGAGCCACCGATGGCATTGGCAAAGAATATGCTAAAGAGTTGGCTAAACAAGGAGTTAATGTTGTGCTCGTTTCACGTACTAAAGAAAAATTAATAGCAGTATCAAATGAAATTGGTATGTAAAACAACAAAGAGATTAGAGCCAAATAAAACCACAAAAATTAAATGTTTTTATTTGGTTTTTGTTTTTCTAATTACAGAAGCCGAGTATAAAGTTAAAACAAAATGGATTGCAGCCGACTTTTCAAAAGGCAGGGAGATTTATCAGCATATAGAAAACGAATTGGCGGGTATACCAGTGGGTATATTAGGTGAGTTGTATGAACATTTTGAATTTCGTATTTCTATTGAAATCTCGCATTCTAGTCAACAATGTTGGTAAAATGTATGATTATCCCGATGAATTGGAGAAAATACCCGAAGATATATTATGGGATTTAATTAATATTAATGTAGGCGCAGTCACTATGATGACTCGCATGTTAATACCTCAACTGAAGAAACAAGGTAAAGGATCCATTGTCAATTTATCCTCAGGCAGTGAACTGCAACCTTTACCTTATATGGCTGTCTATGCAGCCACTAAACGTTATATACGATCCTTTTCTCTGGCCATTGAACGTGAATTGGCTGAATATAATATTGATGTGCAGTGTGTTACTCCTTTATTTGTGGTCACTAAAATGAATCAATATTCGGATACGGTAATGAAAGGCAACATTTTCATACCAAATGTCCAAGCATATACACGTTCTTTAGTTTTTACTTTGGGCAAAACTATTGAAACTACCGGATATTGGAGTCATGGTTTACAGGTTTGTATTTTATCTTTCTTCTGCCTATTTTCTTGGTTTGATTTTATAAACTAACAAATATTTTCGTTTTTAGTATTTAATTATAAAACTCTCACCAGAATGGTTGAGAACGCGTGTTGCCCACCGCATATCTGCAAAGTTAAGGACCGAATACTTTAGTAATCTCGGTAAAAATAAGGTGGCATAATATTTTAAATTAATTGTTATTATTAATTTGTTATTAGTTTCTTTTGTTAAGTTTTAGTTTTAAACGCATTGTATATTTTGCATATTTGTTTTAATTATTATTTCATATTTTCATTCATAAACAAATAAATATTTCATTTTAAATCTAATTAATGACTTAATTTTGAGTGCGCAAAGTGTGAAATTTTCAGAAAGGTAAAAAAAAAATAATAGAATTTAGAGAAGAGATTAGAATAAAGTCTAGAGCATACCTGTAAAGTGTGAATAATTTTATTCTGGACTATAATCCAGTTTTGAGTCCATACATACCATACTATACATACTAGACTATAGACTAGACTATAGTCTAGTCTAGTCTATAGTCTAGACTATAGTCTAGTCTATAGTCTAGTCTATAGTCTAGTCTATAGTCTAGTCTATAGTCTAGTCTATAGTCTAGTCTATAGTCTAGTCTATAGTCTAGTCTATAGTCTAGTCTATAGTATAATCTATAGTATAGTCTATAGTATACTCTACAGTCTAGTCTATAGTCTAGTCTATAGTCTAGTCTATAGTCTAGTCTATAGTCTAGTCTATAGTCTAGTCTATAGTCTAGTCTATAGTCTAGTCTATAGTCTAGTCTATAGTCTAGTCTATAGTCTAGTATATAGTCTAGTCTATAGTCTAGTCTATAGTCTAGTCTATAGTCTAGTCTATAGTCTAGTCTATAGTCTAGTCTATAGTCTAGTCTATAGTCTAGTCTATAGTATAATCTATAGTATAGTCTATAGTATACTCTACAGTCTAGTCTATAGTCTAGTCTATAGTCTAGTCTATAGTCTAGTCTATAGTCTAGTCTATAGTCTAGTCTATAGTCTTGTCAGTCTAGTCTATAGTCTCTATAGTCTAGTCTATAGTCTAGTCTATAGTCTAGTCTATAGTCTAGTCTATAGTATAGTCTAGTCTATAGTCTAGTCTGTAATCTATTCTATAGTCTAGTCTATAGTCTAGTCTATAGTCTAGTCTATAGTCTAGTCTATAGTCTAGTCTATAGTCTAGTCTATAGTCTATATAGTCTAGTCTATAGTCTAGTCTATAGTCTAGTCTATAGTCTAGTCTATAGTCTAGTCTATAGTCTAGTCTATAGTCTAGTCTATAGTCTAGTCTATAGTCTAGTCTATAGTCTAGTCTATAGTCTAGTCTATAGTCTAGTCTATAGTCTATAGTCGTCTATAGTCTAGTCTATAGTCTAGTCTATAGTCTAGTCTATAGTCTAGTCTATAGTCTAGTCTATAGTCTAGTCTATAGTCTAGTCTATAGTCTAGTCTATAGTCTAGTCTATAGTCTAGTCTATAGTCTAGTCTCTAGTCTAGTCTATAGTCTAGTCTATAGTCTAGTCTATAGTCTAGTCTATAGTCTAGTCTATAGTCTAGTCTATAGTCTAGTCTATAGTCTAGTCTATAGTCTAGTCTATAGTCTAGTCTATAGTCTAGTCTATAGTCTAGTCTATAGTCTAGTCTATAGTCTAGTCTATAGTCTAGTCTATAGTCTAGTCTATAGTCTAGTCTATAGTCTAGTCTATAGTCTAGTCTATAGTCTAGTCTATAGTCTAGTCTATAGTCTAGTCTATAGTCTAGTCTATAGTCTAGTCTATAGTCTAGTCTATAGTCTAGTCTATAGTCTAGTCTATAGTCTAGTCTATAGTCTAGTCTATAGTCTAGTCTATAGTCTAGTCTATAGTCTAGTCTATAGTCTAGTCTATAGTCTAGTCTATAGTCTAGTCTATAGTCTAGTCTATAGTCTAGTCTATAGTCTAGTCTATAGTCTAGTCCTATAGTCTAGTCTATAGTCTAGTCTATAGTCTAGTCTATAGTCTAGTCTATAGTCTAGTCTATAGTCTAGTCTATAGTCTAGTCTATAGACTAGTCTATAGTCTAGTCTATAGACTAGTCTATAGTCCAGTCTATGGTCTAGTCTATAGTCTAGTCTATAGTATAGTCTATAGTATAATCTATAGTTAGTCTATCGTCTAGTCTATAGTCTAGTCTATAGTCTAGTCTATAGTCTAGTCTATAGTCTAGTCTATATTCTAGTCTATAGTCTAGCCTATAGTCTAGTCTATAGTATAGTCTATAGTCTAGTCTATAGTCTAGTCTATAGTCTAGTCTATAGTCTAGTCCATACTCTAAGCCTATAGTCTAGGAAACTGTGCACCTACAATTAAGTATTAATTGTAGGTCAATTAAGTATTTGGTGAATTTTATTAAATTCTAGGAAATATAATTATTAACTTGACCTAATTTCACAAGGTCTCACATAATTATTTTTAAATGCACAAAAATGTTTAATGGTTTAAATTGGTCACATTATAAAGGAAACTTACAAAATGCATTAACAACAATAAATTCACCTTTAACATTTATTTAAACAAAAAGATAAGGAAAAAACTCCTTTTAATTATATAAAAAAATAAAAGTTAACCAACAAATACAAGTTTCTTATAAACCTGACTGTATCTAGAGGAATTACATAATAAAACTCTGAAACTGAATTGCAGTTTTTACTTTCATCCATAACTTGTTTTCAATGTTCAGTAGTACGGGAAGTCTAAAAGTAAAAAACCACCTCAAGTCATTGACCGTTAATTTTATATTTTTTCTTATTCAACGTCTTGTAAAATGGTAAAACCAAAAAAAAAAAAAAGACTTGACGGTTGATTAAATTTAAAACAATTAATACATATGCATACATACATATTTATTTTATGATAAAGTTTATATGCAAATTTTAATAACAATAACTTAAAAATACATAATTGACAATTTGTTATTGAAATTTTGAAGCAAAAAAAAAAAAATAAGAAACAATTGTTTATTTAATAATTACTGTGTCATTTGAGCTTGTTACTTAAACAATGACATTGAATGTTTTGTTTTTTGTCAAAGAACATCAATTAACCATTTTTTATTTTTTTTCTTAAGTAATTAATAAACCAAAGTTTTGTAGATTTTTTACTTACAATTACATTTTGCTACTTTTTTAAGAGTTTCACTTATTTGTACTCTAGTATGTTGTTATTGTTGTTGCTGCAACGTAAAGAAACTGACATTTATTAAATATTGCCAAAATTTCAATTTTTGTTTTGTTGTTAAATAAATAGCTTATTATTATGTTTTTGAAACATTTTTAACAGTTTGACGGTTTAACAATTACATCGACTTGTATCGACTATGAGTGATTTTTATATTTCAACATTGACCTTGTATAAATCATTTTAAAATTTATGGTTTTAAGATGTGTTCATTTGTTAGTACTTTTTTTTTTTTGAAATAAAGTTGTTTTAAAATTATTAATTGCTAATATTTTTTGTTTCAAAATTGTATTAATGGTGTTGAAATTTATGATTTAATAATATAGACAACAACACTTGTACCACAAGATTTAATGCTAAACGTTTTGCTATAATCTAAACTATAGCTGGAATGTGGAATATAATATGTACAGAACAGACTAGATTTACTATTCCGAAAATAGACCAAAATAGGCGGATATATAGTCCACTCTATAGAGTAACTAGACTAAACTTAAGTCAAGAATATAGCTTAGACTATAAACTAGACAATAGAACACACTATAAACTAGACATTAGTTTAGATTATAAACTAGAATATAATCCAGACTATAGACTAGACTATAGACTAGACTATAGACTAGACTATAGACTAGACTACAGACTAGACTATAGACTAGACTATAGACTAGACTATAGACTAGACTACAGACTAGACTATAGACTAGACTATAGACTAGACTATAGACTAGACTATAGATTAGACTATAGACTAGACTATAGACTAGACTATAGACTAGACTATAGACTAGACTTTTTTTTTTTTTTTTTTTTTTTTTTTGATACGCTGGAGGTGTGGAATTTTCATAAATGTATTCAACCCGTGTTGAAAAACATGCACGATTCGCAGATGCGCCTACGTACTAAACCACACCCCCATACTTCGGACCCTTGTCCCCGCGGAACTGCCATTCGGTATTACTTCGCGGGGGGGCTCAGCCTTATGCTGCTATCTTTATATTTAGGACAGTCTTGTTTCCGATTTGCGGCTACGTTCGGCTAGTAATAGCGAGTGACTCACGACGTCTATAAATTTTCTCACTGCCTCCCAGTTGCTCTCCGATTTAAGCATAACTCCAACTACATTTTCTGTTGACAGGTTTTCGCCAACAAGTATCTCCAGCTGACGCCTTTGGCTTGCGAAGCGCGGGCAATGAAATACTACGTGCTCCGCAGTTTCCTCCTCATTGGTGCATTCCGGACATATGGGAGAGATATCCAGGCGAAATCTATATAAGTAGCTTCTATAGCCGCCATGGCCTGACAAAAACTGCGTAAGGTTGTAACTCAATTCCCCGTGCTTCCTGTTTACCCAGACATTGATGTTGGGGATTAAATTGTATGTCCATCTTCCATTTTGTGCATTGTCCCACCTTTGTTGCCAATTCTGTATAGATTTAGCCCTTTCAGTTTTCCTTACAGTTCTTCTTTCTAGGCTAGAGCTATTACTTAGCGCAAAGTACGTGACCGAAATCTCATTTGCTGTTATATCTAAAGGCATAATACCAGCTATAACGCTAGCTGCTTCTAGGGATATTGTGCGGTATCCACTGCATACTCTCAGACATGTTCTCCTGAAAAGTGATGTCACGGCTTTTTGGGCAGATGGTTTTGTTATATTCTGCCATGCTGGTGCTCCATATAGGATTATGGAGTTTGAAACTCGTGACAGGAGCAGTCGTTTGCTTTGTCGTGGGCCTCCAATATTTGGCATCATCCTCGCCAAGGCGTTTACTACTCCGGTTGCCTTTTTACAAGCATACTCCATGTGGCATTTGAAGTTCAAGCGATCGTCTATCATAACTCCCAGATATTTGATTACTCTTGAAGACGTAATTGTGTTATCACCTACGCATAAGTTTAGTTTTTCCACCTTCCTTTTTCTACTGATAAGAACAGCCTCCGTCTTGTGTTCAGCGAGTTTAAGGTTTACTGACTCCAACCAATCTTTTATTGTAGTTATCGCCTCGTTTGCATATAATTGCACATCCTCTACATATCTAGCTTGAACGAGTATAGCTATGTCGTCTGCAAAACCAACGATGCTTGCCTCTTCGGGTATTCGTAGTCTGAATATCCCGTCATACATAATATTCCACAATAGTGGGCCAAGGACTGAGCCTTGTGGAACACCGGCAGTAACATTATATGACTGTGGCCCTTGGTCGGTTTCATACCATAAGGTTCTATTTGAGAAGTAGTCCATAGTTATGTTAATTAGGTAGTTTGGGATACTTATCTTTTGCATAGCTGTCATTATAGCTTTCCATCCGGCGGAATTGAATGCATTTTTGATATCCAAAGTGATGATAGCGCAGTATTTTCTTGCGGTGCCATTTCCTTGGATAGCCGCTTTCGCCGTGTTCACTACGAGGTTGATGGCGTCGATGGTTGATTTCGCCTTACGGAAGCCGAACTGCATTTGTGATATGCCGCCAGCTTCTTCCACGGCTGTTAGAAGACGTCTGTATATAACTCTTTCTAGACACTTTCCAACTGTGTCAAGAAGACATATTGGCCTGTAGGATTGTGCTTCACCTAGAGGTTTTCCTGGCTTTGGGATCAATATCAGCTTTTGCTTTTTCCATCTGCTATAGAATATTCCATCTTTAAGACATTTTGTAAATATTTAGGTAGGTAGGCTTATTTTGGCTGTTTGCGTACCTCTTGGCATTTTCCTAAGAGATTTCACAATACCTTCATCAAGTGCTGTTAGATTTAGCTGATGGGCAAGTGCGGTACAAATCTCCTCTTTTGTTGTAATGTCATCCAAATCCGTGCATTCTATTACAATCTCTTCCTTTAGCGATTTGACTTCTGCACACCCATTTAATGATGTAAGAAGTTTCTCTTTATATTTCTCCTCGACGTTTCCACCTGTCGTCTTAAGCTCTAAGAGAAGATCGCCTTTCTGCGTTCTCCTTATTTTATTTACTTCTTCACCTAGGCTATTTAATTCAGGGTTTGCTTTGAGCTTACGTAGTATATCAGCATACGAAGTATCTCCTTTGGATGTTATGATCATTACATCAGGTTTGGGCTTTTTAAAACTTTTCTTGTTTTTTTTCTTAACAGTTTGCCATTTACTTTCAGTAGGTGGTTCCTTTTCTTCTGTAGCAGTGACGCTAACAGTAGGCTCCGTTGGTAAAGCTGGCGTCTGTTTTTTTCTTTCTGGGAGCTCGTTTCTGTCTCTTGGGAGTAGTAGTTTTTGGAGTTTCTTGGTTATCGTCTCTTTCTCGCTTATCTCTTTTGGTGGGCCATACTTGAGGGGATGTCTGGGTTTCTTTTTCGACCATTTCCTCGTTTGCGAATGAAAACTCGACTGTTTTGTCAGTGTTGTTTGCCTCTTTTCTCCTTTCGTATTGGATTTTGTTAAACCTAGTTCTTATGACTCTCAATTTGTCCATTACGCTGTGGTGTATGTTGTTGCGGCCCTTAACAAATTTCATTAGGTCTACGATCAATTCACCAAGCTCTGTAAAGGCATCACCTTTGGTTTTTGGGACATTTGGAGGATTTTCCTTATTTTGCTCCGGTAGATTTAGAGACTGTTCTGCGTTTCCCCTCGGAGGTGTTTTCTTGGTGATGAATCCTTTTCCAAAAGGGTTCATCAGGGACATATATGCCGATGGTATCGCGCTACTCTGAGTATTCTCATTGGTTGTCGAACTTTGTCCGTCTTGGTTTTTTTTATTTTCGTTTATGCAGTCGCTGGATATCGACGACCGGGGGCCTGCGTTCTCACCCCCCTCTGCCGCCGGCACTGGGTTATTAACTCCCTGCACCGTAAGTTTATTTTCATTTGATTGACTTTCCATGTTGGCTTTTCTGTCGGGGTTCCTACCCCTATCGTTTTATACCTAGCCGCCAGGTGTGGTTACAGCCGTTTCTAACATGAAAACAGACGCTGACCAGTGAGCCGCCCACTATGGATCAGACGCTTCTGGGTTTCGTATAGTTGACTGGGGTACCCGCGGAGGTGTCAAACTCCTAAATGTGCCTCTCTTGAGGACATCCCTGCGGGAAATGCTTAGTTAATGGCGGCATTTATTCGCCACGTCATAGAAACGTCGACAGGTTTTAGTAACTTTTTTTTATTACACCCTCAGCCTTCTACCGCTCTTGGTCGGGGACTGCTTATTTATCGCAGCTAGCCTACATATCTGCAGGCCGTTCAGCTATCCGCCACCCGCTGACCCCCATAGTAGCCTGAGCTTAGCCCTATGACTAGACTATAGACTATAGACTAGACTATAGACTAGACTATAGACTAGACTATAGACTAGACTATAGACTAGACTATAGACTAGACTATAGACTATAGACTAGACTATAGACTAGACTATAGACTATACTATAGACTATACTATAGACTAGACTATAGACTAGACTATAGACTAGACTATAGACTAGACTATAGACTAGACTATAGACTAGACTATAGACTAGACTATAGACTAGACTATAGACTAGACTATAGACTAGACTATAGACTAGACTATAGACTAGACTATAGACTAGACTATAGACTAGACTATAGACTAGACTATACAATAGACTATAGACCAGACTATAGACTAGACTATAGACCAGACTATAAACTAGACTATAGACTAGACTATAGACTAGACTATAGACAAGACTATAGACAAGACTATAGACTAGACTAAAGACTAGACTATAGACTAGACTATAGACTAGACTATAGACTAGACTATAGACTAGACTATAGACTAGACTATAGACTAGACTATAGACTAGACTATAGACTAGACTATAGACTAGACTATAGACTAGACTATAGACTAGACTATAGACTAGACTATAGACTAGACTTTAGAATAGACTATAGACCAGACTATAGACTAGACTATAGACAAAACTATAGACTAGACTAAAGACTAGACTATAGACTAGACTATAGACTAGGCAATAGAATATACTATAGACTAGTATGCTAGACTATAGTCCAAACTAGTGAATAGACTGTAGTCCAGACTTTAAGAAAGTCTACTCTATTGTCCACACTACAGTATGGCCTATTGTCTGGACTAGACTATAGTCCAAAATAAACTAGACAATATTACAGTCTTGAATTTATTCCAGATAATAGACTAATCTAATGTTTAGAATTTATATAGATTACGTTTTAATTTGCAACAAACAACAACACAAATAGTTGATCAACTCGTTGTTAATAGTTTTCAAGTCATTATACTTTTGTATCCATATATATAGTCTAGACTATAAACTAGACTATAGACTAGACTATAGACTAGACTATAGACTAGACTATAGACTAGACTATAGACTAGACTATAGACTAGACTATAGACTAGACTATAGACTAGACTATGGACTAGACTATAGACTAGACTATAGACTAGACTATAGACTAGACTATAGACTAGACTATAGACTAGACTATAGACTAGACTATAGACTAGACTATAGACTAGACTATAGACCAGACTATAGACTAGACTATAGACTAGACTATAGACTAGACTATAGACTAGACTATAGACTAGACTATAGACTAGACTATAGACTAGACTATAGACTAGACTATAGACTAGACTATAGACTAGACTATAGACTAGACTATAGACTAGACTATAGACTAGACTATAGACTAGACTCTAGTCTATACTGTAGACTTTCCTCCGGACCGTATGCTAGACTATAGTCCAAACTAGTGAATAGACCGTAGTCCAGACTTTAAGAAAGACTACTCTATTGTCCGCACTATAGTCTGGCGTATTGTATGGACTAGACTATAGTCCAAAATAAACTAGACAATATTACAGTCTTGAATTTGTTCCAGATAATAGACTAATCTAATGTTTAGAATTTATCTAGATTACGTTATAATTTGCAACAAATAACAACACAAACAGTTGATCAACTCGTTGTTAATAGTTTTCAAGTCATTATACTTTTGTAGCCATATATTCAATGTTATCGACATTAGACTCTAGATTTACATCTTTTCGATCACTAAATCCAATGTTCAAAGAGATAATTGGTTGCGTACAACTTTAAGTTGAGATTTTATTTTGTTTTACTTTAACTTAGAATCAGTTAATAATAACATAAATTTAAGTGTACATTTAATGGTTAATATAATAAACTATTACATACTCACCTCTCTTTAAATACAGTATTTATTTGAAATCCATAATTTGCATAGTTTAAGAAAACATATTTTATAGATTTTTTTTCATAATTTTATTTTGTTTTCAATAAAACCGATTTAAAGAAATTTTCAGATGTTATTTTACAGATACCATTTTCTTGTAAACATTTCTTTAGGATGTAATTTTTTCAAGTTTCTTTTTAACAAAACAAAATTACTATAAAAGGCTTTTTGGTTTGATGTATTTCATAAAAATATAAACTAATTATAATAAAAAAAAAAACAAAGACTTGTACATAAAGTCAATTATTTTAAGTATAACATACTAAATTTAGTAAAAAATAAAGAAATATTAAAAAAAAAGGTAAAAGTCCTACATAAAGTTGACCTCAAAAGCTGAAAATAGTTAATAGAATTTAAAATTAATAACTTTATTTAATAAGAAATTTATAAAAATGTTTAAATTATTTGATTTATAAATTGATAATACCCACCTCTTAATTTGTTTTTGGCATATTAAGCTACAGCAACTCAAAGCACTGTCATGACGTCAACTGAAATTAGAAAACAATCAATATTTGTTGTTATTGTTGGATGCATTTGAATATTTTTGTTTTGAATATTTTCTTGTTTACAAGAATTTTGTTGTATTTTTATTGGCCATATGAAAACATTTAAATGTTATTGTTGTATTTAATGTTTATATTGAGTTATTATTAAATTTTAAAACCTGCCTGGATAAATTTATTACAAATTGTTTCAATTTTTTTGGCAACAAACAGTATTTTCAAGTGGCTGTGTATTTTTCTTATATAAAAAAAATATTTTTAAAAAGTATTAAAAATATATAATAATACAGTTGTTTTTATGTATTTTCCTTATATTTTTAATAATTTTTTATTGTATTTTTTTATTAAATTTTCTTTTGAGTTTTTTAAACATAAAAAAATGTCCAAATATTAAAAAAAGAATTGCGCACGTTTCACTCAATTTCACTCAAAATAAAATTGGTTGACAATTCTTTTTTTATATATTTTTTTTAAATATACTGTATTTGAGATACAAAAAATAGAATTTGTTTAAAAAAATTAATTTTTTTATATAAAATACACACAAAATGTGTGTATATGTTTGACATTGTCTAAATTTTGAAATGTCAGTCCAGTTGAGGGAAAATGTACACACATTCACGCCTTGATTTTGTAGGTGTGTTATCTTGTTCCAAACATTTGATTTGATTTGATATTGATGCCAAGAAACAAACATTTTTAGAGCAAAAGAAAATTTAAACAAATTTTGTGTTCTATTTTTTCTATATGCATTTTTATTCAAATTTATTTTAAAACGTCAATATATACTGTAGAACCTATCTATACTCAAGTGCAAATGTTTAGAAAACTTTTTCGAAATTTTATCATAAATATTTCAAAATATTTAATTAATTTAATTTATGTTTGTTTATTAATAACACATGCAATTTTTGGTGCAAATCATGTAAACAAGAAAATAAATTTTATAATTTCCATAAATATGTATGTATGTACATATTTATATTAAGTCCATATGTATGATATATGTAGATATATAATAACTTTGGAAAGAAAATTTGTTGCTATTTAGAATCTCTTAATTAAAATTTGTTTAAATAACCATAAACTTTTACAAAAATGTTAAAACAATTTCATATTTTTCAACAACTATATAAAATACGATGTTGTTGTGGTAAACTCCCCCACAAAGTAAAGAGGAAATTTGTAAATTGTTTACAATTTTAGTTTTGTAATGGCATTGTAAAATTATTAACTTTTAGAGAGATTTTTTTATAGCATCTGGAATTTGCAAATGGACTCGACTATATTATACACCATAGTCTAGTCTTTAGCCTGGTCTGTTGTCTAGTCTATAGTCAGTCAGACTATACTCCAGGCTATAGACTAGATTATAGTCCAGATTATAATCTAGAATATAAATTAAACCATTGTCTAAGACTATTATCCAAGAATATAGACTAAACCATTGTTCAGGTTATAGACCAGAGTATAGTCTAGAATATAAACTAACCCATTGTCAATACTATAGATAAGGCTATAGTTCAGACTAGACTACATTCTAGGCTATTGCTTAGTCTATAGTCCAAACTTTAGACTAGACTATAGTATATTCTATAGTGTAGGCTATAGAATATACTATAGTCTGGAATGTAGCCCAAACTATAGACTAGACTATAGACTATACTATAGTCTAGACTGTAGTCTAGCCTGGACAGTAGCCTGTTTTATAGTCTAGCATGGGCTATAGCCTGTTTATAGTCTAGTCTGGACTAGTTCAGACTACAGTCTAGTCTATAGTCTGGACTATAGTGTAGACTATATTCTAGAAATTGTTTAGTCTATAGTCCAAACTATAGACTAGACTATAGTCTAGACTGTAGTCTAAACTATAGACTAGATTATAGTGTAGACTATAGACTGTACTATAGTCTAGACCGTAGTCTATACTATAGTCTAGTCTCTAGCCTGGACTGTAGTCTGTTTTATAGTCTAGCCTGGACAATAGTCTCTTCTATAGTCTAGACTGGGCTATAGTCTATTTTATAGTCTAGACTACAGTCTGGTCTATAGTGGACTATAGTCTAGACTATATTTTAGACTATTGTTTAGTCTATATTCTAGACTATTGTTTACTCTATAGTCCAAACTATAGACTAGTCTAGTGTCCAGACTATTGTTTAGTCTATATTCTAGAATATTGTTTAGTCTATATTCTAGACTATTGTTTAGTCTATCATCCAAACTATCATTTAGCCTATAGTCCAAACTATAGACTAGTCAATTGTCCAAACTATAGACTAGACTATTGTCCAAACTATAGACTAGTCTAGACTATATTCTAGACTATTGTTTAGTCTATATTCTAGATTATTGTTTAGTCTATATTCTACAATATTATTTAGTCTATATTCTAGACTATTGTTTAGTCTATATTCTAGACTATTTAGTGTATAGTCCAAACTATAGACTAGACTATTTTCCAAACTATAGACTAGACTATTGTCCAAACTATAGACTAATCTAGACTATATTCTAGACTATTGTTTAGTTTATATTCTAGAATATTGTTTAGTCTATATTCTAGACTATTGTTTAGTCTATAGTCCAAACTATGGACTAGTCTATAGTCCAAACTATGGACTAGTCTATTGTCCAAACTATAGACTAGACTATTGTCCAAACTATAGACTAGACTATAGTCTAAACTGTGGTCTAGACTAGACTATAAAACAGACTATAGTCTGTAGACTAGATTATAGATAAGACTATAGTCTATTCTACAGTTGAGATTATGGCCTAGACTATATAGTCAAAACTATACTTTATACTATTATCCAAATTGTAGACTATTTTCAGTTCAGACTATAGAAGATGCAACAGTCCAGATTCTAGTTGTGAATTAAAATAGTCTTGAAAGTACTAGAATCTACACTATGGACTTAATGTATAAACCAGACTTTAGATCGAGGTTAGACTAACAAAAATTTAGAACAGTTTTGAAAAAAAAAACTAAAAACATTTTAAAACCCACTTACCTTTAATTTTGTTGTTTTTCTCCTTATAAAACTAATAGTGTTTTTGTTGTTAGAATAAAATCCATTACGATTACTAGCTGCTTAAGTTTCTCTTCTTAAATTTTACGGCAATATTTGGAATATTTTCATTTTTTTTTTTTTCTTTTTGATATAAAGGCAACGGTTACTTTTTTTGTTGTTGTTATTATAATAAAAACATTATTTCAAGACATGATTTTTTTTTTTGTGTTATTAAGAAAATTAATTAATTAATTTAAATAAAACGTTAGAAAATTTTTGTTTAGAAAGCGATTTCGTAGAAAATGTACAATAATGACAACAAAAGAGCAAGGATGACAAAGGTGGTGAATAAACTTTTGGCTTCATTCATTTTGAAAAGGGATTTTTTTCTAAAAAATAAAAAAATATATATAAATATTTAATTAGTGTTAAAACGTTTAAAAATTAAATATTTTCTTATTTAAAATAATTTTTTTTAACGCACTTTTTATTTCTTGAAGAAAAAAACCGTTCAAAGCGATTGACACGTTTAAACTAAATAATATTCTTTGGCTGCCTAATGGAAAACATACACTTGTATCCAAAATGAATTTCAACGTATTCCAAAATTATTACTACTACAACAAATATTAGCAGCAACAACTACATTAATTCAAAAGAATTGAAAAACCAACAGAAAAAAAACCAAAAAAAAAAAATTATTAAAATGTATTTTTTCTGTGTTAGTTGTTGCTTTCGGCTTAATCCCATGCGTGTGTGATTGAAAGAAATAAGAACAAAATCTGTGGGTGGTGGCAACAACAGATCCAGCTACATTTTATATATATATTTTGGTATCTGTTTTATGATTTGGGCCAAATACCCTATTGTTTTTTAAGAAAAAAAATAATTTTGAAATTTTCATCATGCATTTGTAGTTGCTATGAATCAAACGAACTATATATACAAGTATGAATATATCAGACATCTATAACTTTATTTGCCAGCTTAAATTTTGAGAATTTTTCAACAGGTCCTCTATTTAGGGCAATACGTTTGGGTAATAGCAAAAGTTAAAAGCATTATTATTATTCCTTAGAAACTATCAGCCGTTAATTGTGGCTCTAGTGTTCTGAATCTACGTGAGTTTTTTCTTTATATTTTTTCTTAAAATAAAAAATATTCTGATTAATTGTTCGTATGGTTTGAAAAGTTCGTTATTTATATGCTTTTTTGCTTTTTAAGCTAATTTAAATTGTTCAACTTATATTAATTAGGGTAATGCCACAAAACCATCGAATCTGAAATTTGGATGAAACATTTTTTTTTAGAAAATTTTAGGAAAATAAAGTTAATGTTTATTTTATAAAAAATACATACTAAGTTTGATTTATAAACTGTGAGATTTTAAAATATTAGAGTTTTTTTTATAAATTATTTGGATACTACTAATGTTTTTGTTTTCTTTAATATACTATTTAGTTCATTATAATTTGTTTATTTTTTTATAATTATTATAAAACAAACATGTGTATTAAATAATACTACTAAAAGTTTTTTGATTTTAATTGAGTCCAATTTGTTTTATGAATTATACAGTTTTGTCTGCAAAAGGCCTAGGTGTATTTTTTGAAAAACACTAAATGTTTGGTAATTACGTCATCAAATCTATTACTAGTCAATTAACAAAAATCTTCAACAAATTTGAAGTTTTATTCTCATAAAAATCGGCCGTGTACATATGTACATTAATTTAATTTTACTCACCATTTACTGATCGTGTGGAACATATTGCTAAATTAAAAAACGTCTATAAACTAATTAACGTAATTGTTGTCATCATTAAATAAACGTAGTTCCTGTCTAGAAGATGGCGTACAAAATGTACAAGAAAGTCAATAAAACGGCCAAAATGGCGAAGGTGGACAATAAACTTTTGCCTTCACTCATGTTGATTGCTGTAAGGGAGAAAATAAGAAGAGTTTTATAAGTTATTTATAAATTTCTATATATCAAGCTTTGTACAACTGAAATCTGATTAAACTACAAAAATGACTCTCGTTATAGGCCGAACTCAAGCTTTTCGATACAGAAACGAATCTCGCTATAGTTCAAGCTGTTCTATAGAAGAACATTTGTCGCTACAGCGCAAGCTACATACATATGGCTCTCGCTTTAACTTAACTATACAAATACGACTCTTGCACAGCTCAAGCTTTTCTACTTGGAAAATCATCTCGCTATATCTCAAGTTTTTCTATACAGATATGACACTCATTATAGACTTTCATTATACCTCAAAGTGAATATCTAAAGCATTTCTATCAGGCATGGAAAATTGAGATTTTAAAAAGACTAGACTAGACTACAGACTAGACTATAAACTAGACTATAGACTAGACTATAAACTAGACTATAGACTAGACTATAGACTAGACTATAGACTAGACTATAGACTAGACTATAGAATAGACTATAGACTAGACTATAGACTAGACTATAGACTAGTCTATAGACTAGACTATAGACTAGACTATAGACTAGACTATAGACTGGACTAAAGTCTAGACTATAGACTAGTCTATAAACTAGACTATAGACTAGACTATAGACTAGATTATAGACTAGATTATAGACTAGACTATAGACTAGACTATAGACTAGACAATAGACTAGACAATAGACTAGACTATAGACTAGACTGTAGACTAGACTATAGACTAAACTATAGACTAGACTATAGACTAGACTAGACTATAGACTATACTATAGACTAAACTATAGACTAGACTACAGACTAGACTATAAACTAGACTATAGACTAGACTCTAGACTAGACTATAGACTAGACTATAGACTAGACTATAGACTAGACTATAGACTAGACTATAGACTAGACTATATACTAGACTATAGACTAGACTATAGACTAGACTATAGACTAGTCTATAGACTAGACTATAGACTGGACTATAGACTAGACTATAGACTGGACTAAAGACTAGACTATAGACTGGACTAAAGACTAGACTATAGACTAGACTATAGACTAGACTAGACTAGACTATAGACTAGACTATAGACTATAGACTAGACTATAGACTAGACTATAGACTAGACTATAGACTAGACTATAGACTAGACTATAGACTAGACTAGACTAGACTATAGACTAGACTATAGACTAGACTAGACTATAGACTAGACTATAGACTAGACTAGACTATAGACTAGACTATAGACTAGACTATAGACTAGACTATAGACTAGACTACAGACTAGACTATAGACTAGACTATAGACTAGACTATAGACTAGACTATAGACTAGACTATAGACTAGACTATAGACTAGACTATAGACTAGACTATAGACTAGACTATAGACTAGACTATAGACTAGACTATAGACTAGACTATAGACTAGACTATAGACTAGACTATAGACTAGACTATAGACTAGACTATAGACTAGACTATAGACTAGACTATAGACTAGACTAGACTATAGACTAGACTATAGACTAGACTATAGACTAGACTATAGACTAGACTATAGACTAGACTATAGACTAGACTAATAGACTAGACAATAGACTAGACTATAGACTAGACTGTAGACTAGACTATAGACTAAACTATAGACTAGACTATAGACTAGACTAGAGTATAGACTATACTATAGACTAAACTATAGACTAGACTACAGACTAGACTATAAACTAGACTATAGACTAGACTATAAACTAGACTATAGACTAGACTCTAGACTAGACTATAGACTAGACTATAGACTAGACTATAGACTAGACTATAGACTAGACTATAGACTAGACTATATACTAGACTATAGACTAGACTATAGACTAGACTATAGACTAGACTATAGACTAGTCTATAGACTAGACTATAGACTGGACTATAGACTAGACTATAGACTGGACTAAAGACTAGACTATAGACTGGACTAAAGACTAGACTATAGACTAGACTATAGACTAGACTATAGACTAGACTATAGACTAGACTATAGACTAGACTATAGACTAGACTATAGACTAGACTATAGACTAGACTAGACTATAGACTAGACTAGACTATAGACTAGACTAGACTATAGACTAGACTATAGACTAGACTATAGACTAGACTATAGACTAGACTATAGACTAGACTATAGACTAGACTATAGACTAGACTATAGACTAGACTATAGACTAGACTATAGACTAGACTATAGACTAGACTATAGACTAGACTATAGACTAGACTATAGACTAGACTATAGACTAGACTATAGACTAGACTATAGACTAGACTAGACTAGACTATAGACTAGACTATAGACTGGACTATAGACTAGACTATAGACTAGACTAGACTATAGACTAGACTATAGACTAGACTATAGACTAGACTATAGACTAGACTATAGACTAGACTATAGACTAGACTATAGACTAGAGTATAGGCTAAAATATAGACTAAAATATAGACTAGACTACAAACTAGATTACAAACTATACTACAAACTAGACTACAGACTGGACTAGAGACTACACTATAAACTAGACTATATATAAACACTATAGATTTTTCATGCCTGATTTCTATAGATCAAGGTTTTCTATATGAAAACATCTCTCTCTCTCTCTCTTGCTCAATATTTTCTATAAATAAACGTCATTCCCTATAGCTCGAGCTTTTCTATAAAGAAATCCATTTCATAATAGCTCAAACTATTCCCTAAAGGTACAGTTTTTTCTATATAAAAACGACTCTTGTTAGAGCTCAAGCTTTCCTATATAGAAATACTATCGCTATAACTCATGCTTGTTTATATTTGCGTTTCTATAAATAAACCTCTTTCGCTATAGCTCAAGCTGTTCATAAAGGAACTATGCTGAAGATAAAGTTTTTATGAAACGACTCTGTCCAAGTTTTTCCAACCATTTTTGATATTTAAAAAGCTGTTTTAAAAGATTAATTATTAAATTTAGATTTAAAAGATAAATTCCAGTAATATCCATAGAATAAGTGCTTGTTCAAAATTTTAAAGAATTTAGATATTGAAATTTAGAATACTAAATTTAAAAAAATCATAATCATTACGAAAAAATTTTGATAATATTTTTGATGGAATTATGAACAAAAATTATGATGATTTTTTTTTTAAAGACACAACAAAATGATTAACAAATTGGCTTAAAGCCAATACTTTTTTTAAATTTTTAAAAAACCATACAATAAAAACTTTTTTTATAAAAAAATTTGGTAGAATTGCATAAAAACAAAATTTATCAAAATTGAAATATTTTTATTACTTGAGCACATAACACTGAATTGATTTTGTTTTATATAAAATTTTCTTTTTTTCAAATTCAATAAGTTTTCCCACCTTTTTAAGTATTTTTATATTTGTTTGATTTGAAAAGTGTTTAGGACACAGTTATTAACTGTTGCAAGTATAAGACTTTACTAAATATTTTAGACTAAGATGTTTATTAAATAAGTCCAGAACAATTTTTTTTTTATATTTTTAACTAAAATGTAAATTTTATGAAGAGAAGCAAAAAAAAAAACGAAATAAAATTTTGCGGAAAATTCACTCAAAAAAAGTTTTTAAAAATAAAGAAAAAAATATAGAAGAAAATATTAACAAATACATATGTATAAAGAACAAGTTATAGAAATATTTTGTCATGGGAAAACAGGGAGAAACAAAAACAAAAACAATTTATTAACATTTTATTTTTTTAACAAAATATAAAAAATTTTCTCCGTGCAAAAAAATTGGGAAAAAATATATATATATTTACATATATAGACACAAAACATACATACTTGTACATATCTTTCTGTCACATACATATGTATAAACAATTAGTACTCTACTTTGAGTAATATAAATTTAAGCAAATGTTTGTTGGCTTTTCGCTTTTTTATACAGAAACGACTGTCGCTATAGTTCAAGATTTTCTGTACAAAAGCGTTTCTTGGTATAGCTCAAGCTTTTCTATATAGAAAGGTCTCTCGCTATAGCTCAAGCTTTTCTATATAGAAAGGTCTCTCGCTATAGCTCAAGCTTTTCTATATAGAAACGTCTCTCGCTATAGCTCAAGCTTTTCTATATAGAAACGTCTCTCGCTATAGCTCAAGCTTTTCTATATAGAAACGTCTCTCACTATAGCTCAAGCTTTTCTATATAGAAACGTCTCTCGCTATAGCTCAAGCTTTTCTATATAGAAACGTCTCTCGCTATAGCTCAAGCTTTTCTATATAGAAACGTCTCTCGCTATAGCTCAAGCCTTTCTATATAGAAACTTCTCTCGCGATAGCTCAAGCTTTTCTATATAGAAACTTCTCTCGCTATAGCTCAAGCTTCTCTATACAGAAACGTCTATCGCTATAGCTTAAGCTTTTCTATATAGAAACGTCTCTCGCTATAGCGAGAGCTTTTCTATATAGAAACGTCTCTCGCTATAGCGAGAGCTTTTCTATATAGAAACGTCTCTCGCTATAGCGAGAGCTTTTCTATATAGAAACGTCTCTCACTATAGCGAGAGCTTTTCTATATAGAAACGTCTCTCGCTATAGCGAAAGCTTTTCTATATAGAAACGTCTCTCACTATAGCGAGAGCTTTCCTAAATGGAACCGTGTTCCAATGCAATTCAAGGCTTTTCCTATATACGGCTCAAACTTTTTTTAAATTCCATTTTTCACAAAAATTAAAAACCGATTTTCCAACAAAAATTTTCATAATAATCAAATTTTTTATAATAATCCCATTTTACGCAAAGGGTAAAATAAGCTGGAAGGTATCTAATATTCGACCTATTCGCCTATATCACTCTAGCTTGTTTTCTTTTTGCTTCAAAAACAAAGAAAATTTGAAAAACAGTATACACTTATTTTTACTTGTTGACAAAGAGTTTTTCTCAAAAAAAATGTGTATGTAGTTTTTGTTGCAAAACATTTTTTGAACAATTTGAAATTTATCACATGATTTATGTTTTATTTTCACAGATTTACGCTTGTGCAGCCTCATTTCATTCTGCGAAACAAGTGACAAATTTGTGTTCTAGTTTTATTTAAAAAACACACCTGTTTTTTTCGGGACCCAATTTTAGTAAAGTGTTTGGAAATAATTAATTTCATTAACGAGGTCTTTTCGTTAATTTGAATTTTTAAATTTTTTTTAACTAGAAAATCTACTTTAGTATTGAGTTTAATTTCGAATTTTATTAAATAGTTTCTAAATTAAATTTCAATTTTAAAGTATTTCTCGGGTTTAAATTAAAATTTTATCCTTAGAACTGGATATTTTTTTGTTATAAAATCTGTGTGTCTCAGAATTTCTCTTCAAATCTTAAGTAAATTTATACTATAAAAGATTTTATACTAAAACAGAATACATTTTTAAAATTTGGGTAGAAAGAAAATGTTTTGTTTTTCAAAAAGTTCATTTTGTTTTCTATTTAAAACAAAATCAATATGAAGAAAATCATTGACCCATAATATTATTGTATAAATATGTATGTAGGTATATTTAATGTCTATAATATATATACATAATGTTTTCTTTTTAAAATAAATCTGCATTTAATATTGACTGATTGGTAATAATTCATAGTATTAATGTTGTATTTTAAGAAATCCCCAGAACTGTAAAAGAATATAGTGTTTATTAAAAAATATTTGATTTTAGAATAATCATCGCTTAATTATGTAAGTACTAAAATATTGGCTTTAGAATTAACTAAATTTCGGGACCAAATTATCACAAATTATTCAATCACATAAGCTTTCGTATTGAAAAAATATTCGATCATTGAACATTTTTTCCGATTCCATTAGACACACAATAAACAAAATATTTTTAAGTTGTTTTAAAACGTAATTTTTATTTCTGCATAAATACGTAATATAAAACAAGTAAGAATGTATAGAAGATCTTGGCCGACCTTGTGATACCCAACACCAGTGAATAGCATGTAAAAATATGGATTTTTTTGTAATGAAGCATATAAGTTGTATTTTACCTTAATTCCGTAACAAGTTAACAATTTGTTTGACAAATAAGTGATCCTCTTAAAAAGAGGTTATTCGGGGGCAAGGTTAACTATGGGCCTAAGGATAGGCGAATATTGGTAGAGGAATTTACGTTGTATGTGGCTAGGTGTACGTGCCAAATTTCATTAAATTATCTTGAAAATTGCGACCTGCAGCGTGCGCACAAGGTTTACATGGACACACAGACGGACGCATGGACGATTCTTAAACTTTAAGGTGATTCTAGCACGAATATTTTTGGGTGATACAAACATCAGCACTAACGCAAAATACCATCCCCACTATAGTGATATAAAAATACATCGGACATTAAGGGTATAACCAATATTCGCATTAAAAAATTAACCAATAAATGGATTTCGAAAGATTTTTTATAATTTAAAGACATTAGACAATTGTTCTATTGATTGGTCCTTTCTTATTCACTAATTTTTGTTTAGAATTGTAATTGTATCAGCTAGTTGCAGAGAAACTATTAAAAATAAATATACATAATTATAGGATTAGTTCTGTTAACAAAAAGATTTGTTTAAAATAGCCAAAATTGGAATCAATATTGGCCCCTATTCTGCATTTCAATTCGAATCGAAATTTTCTCCGTTTGGCAACTTCGGTATTCTGCATTTCGATCCGAATCTCCGCCACATAAACAACAACTTACAAAAACGTAGGTACGATCGTAACGCAGAATACACACATTCGTAAAGCATTGAAACGAAATGGAATAGCTTCTTGTTTTCTTACGATTCAGTTCTTTGTTGGAATACCTTTTTTCGATCGTTGCGTAACTAAATGAGTAACGTAATCGAAATGCAAAATAGGGGTGATTACTAATGTGTATTCCAAATGATTCGTTTTCAAAAAAAGTCATACACTAATTTCTTAAAAATACAATACATATTTTCAAATTTTTTTTAATAGATCTTTTTACAAGTCAAAAGTGTGTTGACATTAATTTGATAAATGAGTTGTAGATATGTATGTATGTATTATGTTTATTGTTGAAATATTTTGTTAACTGCGAATTAGAGAGGACTGATGTATGACTTGTAAATGTTAAATAAAAACATTTCAAAACTAATTTAAATGTAAAGGACCCATTAGCTTTAACTCTATATAGCCAATTTAATTGTTATCGATGTTTTATAAAAATGGTCTATTTTTGGAGTAAGTTTTATTTCTATCACATATTTAATAAAACATTAACAAAAAAATAAAAAAGCAAAGTTTTTCATTTACTTAATAAACAGTTCTAAAAATTGGTAAGTATAAAAATTTAAATTCGAATAATGAATATTCATTTTTTTGAGTTTAATTTTTAAAGCATAATGTGTAGAGTTTTTAATTTTCAAACTTTATTAAAACTCATGTTTTATATATGTACGAAAAGCACCTCAAAGTATGCTGCATAAATGCCAAAATAACTTTTTCAAATAAAATTTAAACCATCCCTTTTTACAAATTTTAATAAAAATACAAATTTGTATGTTTTATGTTTTAAGTAAACTGTGTTTTTGTTGTTTTTATTATGTAAATATTAAGAAATTAGGTCCAAACATAAAAAGACTTTACATAAAAAACGAAAAAAATTGATTCAATATTCATCTAGACTATAAAAACTATAATCGTAATCAAAGGATTAATTAAATTGTTACAAATTTTTTTTATTAACAGTTAATGAGAAAAAAAGAAAGGAAAAATAAAATTTGCCCAAAAAAACGTAGTGGTATTTCTTGACGTTCTTTTTTTTATATAGAAAATGAAATTAGTAATGAAAAATTAAAAAAATAATAATACCCAATTTTGTATTTATATTGAGAGAATAAAAATAATAAAAAATTGCCACATACTCGTTCTAAGACAGCGAGTTGTGCTTGTTTTTTTTATTAAGAAAAAAGGGCCAACATTTTTTGTTAATTGTGTTACTTCAATTCAGAGCATAAGAAGGATATGATTTATGGAAGTGAGAACAAAACTTAGACAATAGAACCTATAGGTAGATATACATTACAGGACACAAACATAACGTGTTCATTCCTCATTATCCGAATACCAAGAGAGGCGTTCTTCGTAGAATTTAATGACCATTTGGGGAATTTTAACATGTGCAACGGGTGCAGCCACCATTTCAGCTTGATCGACACCCTTAAATTGTATGAGGAAATAAAGACCACCATTTGAATCGGAGGCACCTAAGATTTTTTCCGCCTCCAAACCTTTATCGAATCCAGTCAATTCTGAATGTTTTGTCGAGCCGTCTGAAACGGATTCCGTATCGGTTTCATCTTTTCCGGTTTCTGTGCGCTTCTTTTTGCTGCCTAAAATGTTAAAGAAAGAAAAGGGAATTTATAAGTATTGAAATTTTGACTTCTTAAGTACATTATAGTAGTTTACCTGAAGCTTTAGCATCTTCATTTTTGCGTTTATTACTTGCCGAACTGGATCTTCCACTAGATTCTTTCTCTTTTTTAGATGATTTTTCAGTTTTCGCACTGCTGGAAGCCTATAAAGATTACAATATTTGTTTTATGTATTACAATACATTTTAAATGAAGAGCAACTCTGCATTAACTTTTACTAAAATAGAATAACTAAACCCCTATAAGTGTTTCGAAATGCTTATAGAGCAATCGCACATGTTGCTTTTCCTTTTGTTGATAAATAAAACAAACATATGTTCATGTGTTTGTTGTTGTAGAACAGCAAACATAGTTTCCATGTGGTGTTAAATGTTTTTAAAATTATCTAATATGTCCTGTTGAGTGTTTTAAATAGTAGGTACTTAAAAAGGGACTGTTAAAAAAAGTCAAAATAAAAACAAGGTTATTGCAGGTATAAAAATTCACAGCTTGGCTTTGTTTTTAGTTTTCGATATGTTGTCTGCCTAAGGGGTATTTTTCTTAAAATAAATGAAAACTATATAAAATATCTCCGTTTCTTAATATAGTTAATTAATAACACATTTTAAACGAATGGAATTTGGGTGTTTTTACAATAAACCGATAAATTATGAAATTAGTAGTTATACAATACAAGTAGATAGTTTCAATTAATAGTATGCGGGCTATGACCAAACATCGTTTGGTATTTATTATCTTGGATAAACAGTACATCCCCATTAAAAGGCAATGTCTTTTCATATCTTTTCTTATGTAACCTATATGGGAGTTTGGTTCAATTTCAATATTGATTCGGGATTCGGAGCAAATCGAACCTTTTGACATCGATCAATTTTAAAGGGCGTGATTTTTATCAAATATCTATGTTGTTAAAGATTTAGTGTTGCCAGTTTTCCTAGAGATACTAGTAATAATAAACTCTTGAAGCTATTTTCGGGCTTTCCGGTCCTATGGGTGTTAGGAGCAAATCGAACCTTTTGACATCGATCAATTTTAAAGATCGATTTTTATCAAATATCTATGTTGTTAATGATTTAGTGTTGCCAGTTTTCCTAGATATACTAGTAATAATAAACTCTTGAAGGGTTTCCGGTCCTATGGGTGTTAGGTGAAATAATGAACCGATTTCAACCATTTTCAACAGACTTTGGCTGCGGGCCAACAAAGTGCAATGTACCTGATTTCATCATACGGACATGGTTTGAAAAAGTTTTTAAATGATTCTATGGTGTTTGATGGGTACAGGACCAAGATTTCTATGCGTTACAAACATCACAACAAACGTATAATACCCTACCCACTAAGGTGGTGAGGGGTAGAAATTGGTACTTGAAGTTTGAAAAAGGTCGAATAAGTAAAAAGTAAACACACATATATATTTTATTTAGAAAGTACACTATATCGATATCAGTTTCCTGAATTTTCCTTATTACGCCTTATTATACATGTCGTCAATTCTCATTTTTTTTATTAACAAACTTTTTATCTGAAACACCCTGTCAATGTTTGCTACTATCCCGCCAAAAACAACAACAAGCCTTTTTCTTTTATCACACAGAAACATAATTGTTTTTGTAAATTCTTATCGATATATAAAATAATGAATATATGCATCATGTAAGTATAATTTACCTCATCCTTAAGTCTTTGTTCCTCGAATTGTTGTATTAGATCTTGGCAATCTAAATTTTCTTCAGGCTCCCATGTGTTATCCGATTCGGGATAACCTTTCCATTTTAAGAAATATTCAACCTAAAATACAGAAGAGGACAAACAAATAAAAGCTTCGTTCGTAATCAATTAATATTTTTCCTAAACACACTCACCTTTCCCTTGCGTACACGTCTCGAGCAAATTTTCTCAACCACATACTCGGCATCTTCATCCGAGGAACCACTACCAGAGGCATCAGCTTCGTTTTTCTTGGATTTCATGTTTCTGTAGTTTTTAAAATTTGCACTTTTGCTGGACAAACTATTGAATGAAAAAAATTAAATGGTGGAATTGTATTGTGTTTTAATTTAAAAAGAGTCAACTTTTCGCAAATACGATAAAAATGACGCCGCGTTCTTTTGTCACACACAAAAGCCGCAAAACATCGAAAACAAAAAAAAAACACGGAGAAAAACTAATGGCTACAATTTTTTTTTTCACTTTTATTGTTAATAATTTTATAATATTAGAAACACTCACGTTTTATAGTAAAACGAATGTATTTATGTTTTACAAAAAAAGTTTATTTCTTCTATTTCTTAATTCTCCAAGTAAAACTATTTAACTGACGCGTGCAATTAAAAATGAGAATCTATTGATTTTCTTTCGATGTTTGTGGAATGTGTTTGAAGCAGAGCCCTGCGCCGAGCAAATTTAACGGCGGTGGCGGCTTAAGTGGAACAGTTTCTACGGCGGTTTTAATAAATTATTTTGCCATATCGCAAAATTAGGAAAATAATAAGCGTTTTTACTATTAAAGTATATGATTAATAAAAAATAGACATTCCTATCTGTTCTGTAAACCGAATCCGAGTAAATTTCTCATTTAAAAAAGAATTTGCATAAATTTTTCCGTTTTGAAAACGAGTACACAAATATATGTAGTTGAAAGTAAATAGAATATAATTTTTTATAAAATATATTTTTGCGTTTTTATTTGTATATAAATGCTATAGGCATTTTAAACCCATTTTTATTTCAAATATGTTTTTCTGAATTTTATGTTTAACTTTTTTCACAAAAAAAAATTTAAAATGAAATTATTTTATTTGAAATTAAACTAAATTTTTACTAGTCGTATTGTAGACATTATATACAACTATATAGATATGTATATATTTTTACTCATTTTTAGAATGTCTTGAAAATAGATAGATGCACACATTTATATAGAAAAATGGAATGCATAATTTGTAGTACTCAGTTCAAAAACACCGAATTTCGATGTTTAAATGTAATAATTTTTCATGTTATAAGCCAAACAAATTTTCGGTGGAGGCGTCTAAATTTCTTCGGCGGCTCGGCTTAGCCGGCTGTCTAACAATCGTCGCAAGTCTCTGGTTGGAAGCGAAAAAGAAAAATGCCAATTTGCCCAGAGTTGCATTTGAACAGCTAGCACATACAAGGTTGTTTTCAAAGGTATGGGTATGGGTATATCCAACAGCGTTGTATAAAGACATAAAAATGTCAGCGTAATAATGTTATGATATCGAAACTAAAATTGCAGTAATAAAGATAAATATTAATGATAGATATTGAAAATAGTTATACAAAATTTTTATAATTTTATGTTTTAAATATGTAGATGATTACAGACAGTTTGATTACAAAATTTACAGGGACAGATAGGCCTTCATTGATTGGACGATTGGTACATATATTGTAAAATGGTGAAAATGGTAACTATAAAGTTAACATTTCTAACTTTTTTCCGGTGATAAAATTTTGAGTTTTCTCTGGTGAGTCTAAATTTCATTCGTTTCCGCATTCGCTACGATCAAAATCGGCTACGATCAAAAATCGGTATTCCAACAAAAAACGGAATCTTAAGAAAAAGAAGAAACAATTCCATTTTATTTCAATGCTCTACGATTGTGTGTATTCTGCATTACGATCGTAAGTATGATTTTAGTGACGGAGCTTCGAATCGAAATTCAGAATACCAAAGTTGCCAAACGGAAAAAATTTCGTTTCGAATTGAAATGCAGAATAGGGGTTAAAAACTACCACGCCCACTACGGACGTGATTTAATTAAAAAGCTTAACTATAACAGCTTTTATTACTAACACATTTTTCTATAATATTCAAACAGAATTAGAATTTTTTAAATATTCACTTTTTTTAATAAAATACAATTTGTGTTATTTTTCAAAACTTTTTTTTTTATTTTCAAAATATATTCTAAAATTGTGTGCGTAAAGTGTGCTTATTGTGTGCTTGATTTTCTTTTTTAAACTATTTTAGCAAAAAGAAAAAAACAAAAATAATACAAACAACAAATTATAATTAAGGCCTAAATAAAAACTAGGGTTTCTTTTAGACGTTTTCTATTAATAAGAAAATTTGTTTTAATATTTTTGAATTTTATAGCTTTTATTTTAACTACAGAATCCTATTTGCACCAATTTTACTTCTTTTTTGTTAGATTAAATGCTATTTTTCTTTAACAATATATATGGAAATATTTGTACATTTTAAATTTTTATCTTTAAATTTTGTTTTTATTAATTTATATATTTTATATATAATTATCAATAAAATTATGGCCCCGCTATTCCACAAGTATTTAATTAATTAAATTTTGTTTATAATTAAGTTGTTCTCTTAAACTAAGTTATTTGTTATGGTTTTGTTTGTAAAATATATTTATTCAAAATATAAATAAACAATTTACAAGCTAAAGTTGTTGCTGAAAGAGTTATTAAATTAAATTTGTTTTTTTTTTTTGAAACCTTTTCAAATTTAATACCAAACGAAAATTAATTAACAATTTTTATAAATTTTTTGTGTCTTTTTATTTTGCAAGAGAAAATAAATTTTGGTTAGTGTTTGATTTGCTTAAAAGTTAGTGAATTATTTTAAAAATTGGAATTTAATTATAATTATTTGTTTAAGGTGGGAATATATTTTAAATAAAATACACATTTTTAAATAACTAAGAACTAAAAATTTATATAGAAAAACAAACAACTTTAACTTGTAAATTGTTAAAAGTTTATGCATAAAATTATCTAAGAATATGTTTTATAATAATATTATTATTATTATTAATAACTAGAGCTTTTTGTTATTACAAAATAAACCAAACATGTCTACATAATACCAAGATTATGTATGTATGTAGATTTAATAAAAATAAATGACTATTTTGCTACTCATTTTTGTTGTTTAATTAGAAATGTTCAAAATGTTTTAAAATATTTAGAAAAGGAACAAATTTTACACCAATTTTAAGTCATTTCTCTAAAAAAAAAAAGATTCCACTTTAAAAAGTTTAAACAAAAATTCACTAAGTCTGGCAAATGAGAAATGAATATTTAACATTTGCTGTTTTAAGTTTAACATGAAACTGTTAATACTTTTAAAAAATTGTTTATAACATTGTGAATTTTATGGTTTAAAGGTTAAAAATTGTGTTAAATACAAAAACATAAATTTTAAAGTGCAATTGTAATTTTTTTAAGGTGCAGCATCATCATTATCATCATCAAAACTGCAAACAATTATTTATAATAAAAATTTGCTTAAATTTTGTTTAATTTTTTTTTTAAAGTATGTTTATATAATACGTTTGTATAACTAATTTTTAAACATTTTATATTAAATAAATTTTAATTTTTCTTTTTTGAACATCACAGTGTATTTTCTTTTTATAAATTATTATTTTTGTTTATAAACTTCCTCTAATTATTTATTTATTTTAAAATTTTTATTAATAATTAAACCAATTTGCTGCCCCTGCCTGATATATTTTTAACTAAATATAATTTTTAAACATAAAAACTTAAATATTATTTCATTAATATTAAAATTATAAATTATTTTTAACAAACTGTGGGAACAGAATAAAACGTTAGTAACAAACAAGAATAAAAAACAAAAAGATCTAAACTAATTGTTATAATTAAAAAAAATAAACAAAATTTAACAATTAAAATTAAATAAAACTAAATAAAACTACAGTTCAAACACAAACGAAACGTGACTTCAAATGTTTTCAAATTAACAATTAAAAGCAACAAAGAAAATGTTTAATAATATGTTAAAGCAATTTAAAAATTAAAAAATTAAAATAATTTGTTTTAAATTATTAAAATTAATAAAAAATAATATTTAATTCCTGCTGATAACTTGACCAGTTTTGGCATTAACTAGTATAGTTTTATGGCTTGTATTTGAAGTTGACGTGGCAGTCAACGTTTGTTCCTCTTGATTCGATGTTGCTCCTGCAGCAGCACCCTGGCGACTTATACGTCGGCGCAAACGATCACTTATATTTTCAGTGATGTTGTTGCTTGTCTGCTGCTGCTGCTGCTGCTGGTTTTGGTTAGACTGTTCATTTGTTTCTTTTTTGATGGTTAAACAGCCATCATTTTTATATAGAATAATTTTAGCACATTTGGGTTGTTTTGGTTCGGTGTTAACTTTTATAGATTCCCCAGAGGAATCTTTTAAGTTTTCATTAACACGATTTTCTTCATTATTGTTATTATTAGGAATTTCCTTTTTAATATTTACATTTTCCTCCTCATTATTTTCCTCATTTGGTTGTTTCATACTTATTTCTAAGTTATCATAGCGTGTAAAGAAACTAACATCCTTTAACTTTTCATTACCATTGAAATGTACCCGGGTATGTTCTTCTATTTGATCCTGCTCTTCGGCTGAATAATCGCAATGCTCACAGATGTGAGCCAATTTTTGTTGGGAGACACAAATGTGTTGTTGCAAATGAGTTTTAAATTCTTCCTCGTTGGAACTTTCAAAAGGACAATGTTCACACTTTTCTTTATTATCATTGTCCGAAGAGGTTTTTTCTGGACTAACATCTTCGGGGATGGGTATAGGACGAGATTCATTTTCATGAGCCAAATCACCAGTTGCCACTGAGGCCGAGGTAGAAGCGGTATTAGAATCATCGGCTTCGGCTTGATTTGGCTTACTGTTACGCAACTCCTCATTAGCTGCTGCAGTTGCTGTTCCTGAACCTGATACTTGCCTTGATTCTAATTGCTTCTTTAACAAAGAATTACCCGCTTCATAGGAATTACTTTGCGAACTGGAGGTTATTACCGAATTTTGATGATGTTTGGTTTGTTGCTGCTGCTGCTGATGATGATGACCCTCATTTAAGTCATGATCCACCACCCAAATAGTCTCATGCATATGAGGCTTTTTGGTGGCGGTTATATGCATTAGTTTAGGTGCCCGATACACAGAATCCTCTTTACAATTCTTATACAATTCATTGCATTTCTCTTGATATTGTGTAGTATGCACATAACGATGGGTTTGTATAATGGACTCATGCATAGCACGATAATCACAGTAGTCACAGTGATACTTGCGTTTATCTTCGCTGCTGCTGGAATTGTTATTTTCATGTTGTCTTAAGTGTTCATCTAGATCTTTTTGGGCCGTTAATGGATCATTGTGTTTTTGGGCATAGCGAGCCGGACATTTGTTACAATAGTAGATCATACGATATTGATATTCCGGTGGTAATTGGCTTTGATGATTCTGATGTTGGTTATTCTGTGTTAAGGTAGTTGAAGGACGTGCCACTGGTGAAGCAGATAAATCGATGGCCAGTGGTGTTGTTAAGTTGGTGGAGTCCTGTTAGAAAAATATTAAATAAAATCATTGTTATAATTGTTATTATTTGGTGAAAAAGTCTTGTTAAAATTAAAGGAGTTTCATATTTTAGAAATTTTTATTAAAATTTTGAAATTTTTATTAAAATTTTGAAATTTTTATTAAAATTTTGAAATTTTTATTAAAATTTCAATTCAGCTACCAAATATCTAAAGTACATTGCTGAATTTATAAAAAGAAATCGAAGCAATGGAAATCTTACCTGATTTTGAGCAGCTGTAGCTATTTGCAAAGCTAAACCGAAATCCATATTGATACTATTTGCATTCGTTGTCTGCGATGGATTAGATGTGGCCGCCAAAATTTGATTCTGTTGCATTTGATGCACTGTGCGCATATGAGAACTCAAATGTTGTTTCTTGGCACAAACGAAAGTACACATGCGGCACTCATACTGAGTGGGTTTATGCAAGGAAATGTGGTAATTCATTTGAGATTTACTATCACAAATATAAGTGCAAAGAGGACATTTTTGCTGTTTCGATTTGGCATTGTGCTGAGGCGAAGAAACACGATTTGAGGCAGAGTTTAAGTTTGACTCCAATAATTGAGCCAAATTTGAATTGTTGGCCGTTGTAGGGGTTGTTAAGATATTATTGCTGCTGCTGTTATTATGATTTGAAGACGAAACTCTGGTTATTTCAATTTGATCATTTTGTTGTAATTGCTGTTGCAGAAGTAATTCCTCTGCCATGCTAGTAATAGCCGGTAGATTGGCTAAAGTATTAACACTATTTGTTTGGTTAGTAGCAGCTTTATAGGCTGCAGCTAAATATACTACAGCTGCTTGTAAATCCTGTGTGGTATTTGCAGCATTTAAAGCCGTTGCTATGGATGATGGCAATATGTTATTATTGTTGTTTGTTTCAGTTTTTAATACATTGTTGGCATTTTTAAGTTGTAGATTATTGTTATTGTTATTGATAAGTACTGTATTATGATTATTATTTTGATTTTGTTGCTGCTGTAAAGCCTTTAAAGTCAAATTATAATGACTATTAGTGGAATTTGTATTGTTGCTATTACTATTATTATTATGGTTGTTGTTGCTTTCATTGGTAGCGCCATTTACTAAAGGCTTATAGATGGGTGTAGCATGACGATCGTTTGTGGCTGTACGATCAAGGGTTTCGATATTGATAACGCCAGCATGCTTCAAGCGACAGTGACGCTGTAGAGATTGTAGAAACAAAATTTTTTGTTATTATTATAATTATATATAAAGAAATTATTAATAATACATAAAACATATTTCAATTTTTTTTTAAATGAGTATTTTTTTGTTTGTTTTGTAATTGTATAATAATTGTAAAATGAATTATATATAGATGCACACCAAATCCCCTTTTTAAAAAAGAACTTTAAATTTGAATACAAACATACATATATAATAAACATAAAAAATTATAAAAAATTCTTAACAAAAAGACTGACACCATTTTCTTTTAACAAAAAAAATTAAATACCAAACACCTTAAGTTTAAATATGGACTATATTAATACAAAGAAATGTGTAATAGGAGAATTTCTTATATCTTCACCATCGGCATTGTATCGTTGTATGTCATAATTTGTTTACACTTCACCTTCGTGAGAAGTATAAGTATGTATGTATATAAGTTTGTTCAAATTATTGTTGTATGCAGCTAAGTATGCAAAAATGAGTATGGAAATCTTTTTATAAATATATCAACAGTTATAGAAATATTTCGACACACTGCGATACAACGCTACGATACCGATTGTGAATTGGATAATTGTTTTTCGTATGTTTTGTAATAGGCATGTACTAACAAATATTTTTATACAAATACGAAATTAATTTCCCATTTCCTCCATTGCAAATGACAATTAGTGTTTAAGAGATTTAAACCAGTAATAAATATCTATCATTATAAATGTTCTTTTAACTCACTGTATCAATTATCAGATTAGTAAAAGTTAAAAACCGTTATATTTGAGACCTTGTAATAGCGCGAAGTTACCGTTATTTATAAAATATGTTAAGCTCTTTGAAGGTACTAACCATTGACTTCCAAACAAAGGTTAAATCTCTATTGTATCTTATTCTTTAAGATTTCTTAGTCTAAATTTGGAAACAACAAATTATGAATTTCCGGAATTTAAGCTGTACTTAGGAATGAAATTAAAGGATTTAAAAATCTTTTCAAAATAATACAATCCTCAAAATTCTTAAAATTTCAGAATTTTCCTACTATAACAACTGATCACATTCATTATCAAACAGTCCTTTCACTCTCTCACACATACATATTTTCTCTAAAAAAAAATACATAGAATTTAAACACATAATTTAAAATAATACCTGAATAACATGCTTCCAATTTGATACTTGATGACAATGACCACAACGATATGGCGATGGATCACGCCTATCGGCGGCAGTTGTATCGTGCGTTAATAAATTATTATTGTTATTGTTGTTACCATTACCGTTACCGTTAACATTATTATTGTTATAGTTACAGTTACTATTATTGTTTGATACACCATTACCAGATAAATTACCCAAATTATTACTGTTATTGTTATTACTAGAAGATGAATTATGATTTTGAGTCTGAGTTTGAATAAAATTTGGATTAGACAATGACAATAATGATGTAGAACAAGATGAGGCAGCGGCGGATAAAGAAGTCGCCATATTATTGTTATTATTATTGATGTTTACAGTACTAGTTGGTATATGATCGGAGGAGGAGGAAGTACCACCAACACCCATAACCATACTATGATGATGATGATCTTGTATACCACCCATAATATCACCAGTTAATAGACCAACACCACCACCACACCCTTCACCATGATGCAGTGAGAAGGGTGTTGTTTGATTTAATTGATATGCTAGATGATTTGGAGTTGTAGGAGGAGTAGTAGTGGTAGTTACAATTGTATTCGGTGTAGCCGATGATGGTGACGGTGACATTGCTGTCATTAATCCAGACTTATTTTTAAGTAGTGTTGAACCCATAACCATTGTATCATTATTTAAATTATCATTTTGATTTTGTGAGAAAGAGCCTCTGGGTGAAGTTAATAAATGCTGTAAGGAGGGTGAATTTGTCGACACCGTCGACCCAACACCTGTTACTGACGATGTAGACGTCGCAAGTGTCTGCTGTTGTAGCTGATTTTGTGAAGTTTTTAAAGTTAATTGAATTGGCGACGTCGTAGTGTTTTGGGCACTTGCCTCGTTTAGACTCGCTTTCTGCTCACCATGCTCAATAATATTAGCAGCTGCATTTAAATGTGATGTCTTAAGGGGAGATTTACCGGCCAGAGCTAAAGCTAAACCGCTTAAATTGGTGTTATTGGCTTGATCCAAGAGTCCGGCAGCCATTAAATTGGTCAATTGTGCATTTGGGTTGGAATTATGCTGCTGCTGTTGTTGTTGTTGCTGCTGCTGCTGGGAAAGACACATGGCTGCCAAAACCTTGTTCATATAAAGATTTGGATTGACTGCCACTTGCAGCCCATTGCTGTTGGAAGACATTTGTTGTAAAGATTTGGGAGAAATCATAGCATGATTTGTATCCGGAAAATGTACTTTAACATGAGCTAAAACAGCATCACGATTAACATGTCTAAGGGAACAAACTTATCATGAGAATTCGTTATTTTTATATAAAATTCAGTAAACTTACCTAAAATTACATTTACGACACTTGTAGTTGGTGATTTTCTCATTGCCCTCTTGTCTAACTTCCAAAGTGATTTCATCACTCGGCTTGTAATTTTGATTAACAGGTGGCGATTTTTTTACAGCCGATATTGTTACCGAGGGCGTTATTAATGTGGGGGCATTTTGTTCATTATCATTTTGTTGTTGCTGCTGAGCCATGGCTGCATTGACCATGGAAGCCAAAAAGGGCAAACGTATAAAATTATCCGATAATTGATCATCGACTGAAGGTACTGATGCCTTAGCTGGTATAGGTTCTAAAGTTATGTCTTCCCTTACACCATTTAAAATATTATTAACTGTTGAATTGGCTGTCGAAGTGTTACTCTGCTGCTTGTTATTGTAATCATTAATAAAAGCCAAAGAAGCTACCTGATTCGGGGTCATTTCTCCCGATTTCATTAGCTTCGGATCACCATCTTCTTCGGTTACTTTCATTAGCGTGATATATTTATTGTATTTTGTATAGTTTCGCCTACCGGTCTCGTCATTCATTAGAACACGAGCATTTTTATGACTAGGATCTCTAATGGTCTTTAGGCGAATATGCTTGGTAATATCCCAACGCCAGTTAGAGCGATAAGAACACAGGGAACATTCAAATGGTTTCTTATTTAAATGCCCCACAATGTGTACATGAAAGCGGGAAGCTGTGGAAGCCCAAAATGAACAATGAGGACATTTGTAGACCTTTTTCAATGACGAATTGGCAGCCTCTTCTTCGGGTGTCATCTTTTTAGTTACCTGGAAATAGTGAAAGTTTCAAATTTCATTGGATAACGGACGTAAGTTAGTAGGAATTAAAATGGTCGCGTTTTTATAAAATCATATTATTAAAAAGTTATAACAAGCTTTTAAGCTTTAATTGTTCAAACATAAACAGCTTACAGTTCGTGAAAATTTTGAAGTTCGTTTTAAGAACATTTTTGACTTACCTCTCCATAGCCAGGAGCTGTCTCCACGCCATAATAACTATTCTCATCATTATTTGCACTCAACAAACTGCCACCAGCATTGGAAGACGAATTGCCACTAATGGGCTGTTGACGTTGATTGCCGTCAGAACTTTGAGAACCACTGCCACCACCACTACCTTCTTGCTGATTGCGAGGTAATTTATTCCAAATAAAAACACGATTTTCCATGGGATGTTGCAATTCGTTGGCACTAGTATCACCCAGCATAACACGACTACCAGCACAACTATCGCCAGACAAAGAATCACAGCGACTATTAGCCTCGGAGCAGATTTTCAAATGATTCAATAAATCCACCGAAGACTTGCAACGATGACGACAATGCTGGCAACGTGTCGAACCGGTAACACTGAGATTAAGAGCCGAATGTGATTGTTTGTCACATTCTTCATCCTCGGTAAAATCAATTTCTAAACGGCCCTCCTCACCATCTTCATCATGTTCATCGTCATCCAGGTCCATGTCATCGTTGGCGGAGAGTGGGGAAAACGTACAAGTTTTACGATGAATTATAGACTCTGATAAGCACTTGGCCATGTGACCACAGGGGCATATCAAATTCTCATTAGTGGCGGAGGAAGACTTTATCTTATCGAAGAATGAACCTGTCTTGCGATTCAACAAACTTCTACTGCTGGCTGAAGAGGTAATAGTGGTGGTGGGTGATAATTGCGAAGCCGCTCCTGCCATAGCCTCTGTTTTATCTGCCGGTTGCAACATTTCCGAAATTTGTTTTTCATTGAAAAACATGGAGGCGATTTCCGACAGTGAAGACCGCGAGGCCAAGTCCGTGGAAAGATTCAAAATATTCTCGCTTTCTTTTGTTATGGGTATAAGATTCGGTAGGGGTTTCTTGGCTTTCGGTATACTCAAATTGGAGTTATGTACGGAGGATGTATCAGAAGAGCCACCTTTTTGAGATAAATCCGTGGGTTCATCATCATCATAACGCAATCTTTTCGTTTCATACATGCCTATGGGACCAGCTGTCATTAGCATTTCATCATATTCATCCATATTGTTGTTGTTGAAATGATCCTCTAACATTTCAGCAGAATCACTGAAAAAGTCCTCATTGAGGTCGGTGCCTCCCACTTTATTACGTCTGCGTGCTAAAGTCATGCCAGCTGCATGACCTACCGGTGGTACATGATGATTCATTTCGTGAACTGTTAACGATTGTTTAATGTCAGCAGTAAAATCACAAGCAGCACATTTAAAAGGACCCGCTCCACCATGATTTTTCATATGACGATCCAGATTCCATTTGTAAGGTGTGCGAAAATCACACGTGACACACTTGATCATGGGCATAGAATGATATTTGACATGTTTACTAAAACGAGCCTTAATATGTGTGACATACGAACACTTCTCACAGCGATAAAACTTGGCATTACAATGATCTTCGATTTCATGTTCCAGCAAATGATTGCGATACAAAGTGGTGAAATCACATAGACTGCATTTCATTAAACGATTATTGGAGGGTTCATCGGAAGCACCCAGAGGCGTAACACTACCTGCACTTCTAGCATCTGAATGCTGCTGATGGCCAGGTGGTGGTAGTGCTAAGGCTGGTGGAGGTGAGGAATTACTGCCCGAAGGAGAAGGTGTTAATTCTAAACTTGATCGTTGTGGTGTCATTTGTAGGGGTGTCGAATGATGTTGTTGATGGGCAGGTGTGGCGGTTTCATAAGTTCTATTTTGGGAAGGACTATCTTCACGATTTTGTACAGGTGATGTTTGTTGTTGCTGTTGTTCATAATTGGAATGGGTGGCGGCTACTTTTAGAGATTCTCTATTATCGATTTCTCGTTGGACCCTTAACTGTTCATAGGCGGCTGCAGCAAAAATGGCTTCATTGAATTTCTGCTGTTGAGATTTTTGTTGTTCCTCCTGTTGCTTTTTAAAGGCTTCGATGTCACGTTGCATTTTCTGATGCTCCATGTCGGCTTTAAGCTAAAGGAAGACAGAAAAAATTAATTAAAAAAGTGTTTTGATAGCAAAATTTTCAAAATTGATGAAGATTTTGAATATAAATTAACAAATTTTGTTCCTCACTTACTAACTAATACTTACATGTTCCGCATTTATAGCCTCCACACTCAAAGCACTTATCACACCCGTGGCAGGTACGCTCTCCTCCAGTTTCCTTTTCCTCGCCTCACGATTCATGCCACGCTTACCACGAGCCTGACCATGACCGCTGGCTATGCCATCGGTACAACCGTGCACCATTTTCATATGACGCACCAGTTTCTGATAGTGGCGGGAGGCATACAGGCACAATTTGCATTTATTTATAACTATTTTCTCACCATGAACATCGCGCAGATGTGTCAGGTGGTAGCGAGGATTTTGTGTGAAATATGTACAATAATTACAGCTATAATTACGTTTAATTTTACATTGCGGCAAACCTTCCTCTTTAAGTTCCATGGCGGCGGCCTGTTGACGCTGCTGCTCTTGGACAATATTTTGTTGTTGCTGTTGCATTAAATGTTCTTGGGTTCTTTTCAGTTGTTGGAAATGTTCCATCAGTAGGGTGTTGGGATTGTTCGTTACTGCTAATGTTTGTGGGGAATTCATATTGTTATTTTTGTTGTTATTATTATTGTTATTTCCTGCTGATTCTTGATCCATATAAATGGGATTACCACTAACTACACTGCGCACTATTAGAGTGTCGCCGGATCTTTGAACCATTGAAGGTAATTCCATGGTTTCTCCGAGCGGTTTTGTATATAATATCAAAAAATATTATTTATGGCTTTTTATTGTATTGGTCCTTTATGGTTTACGGTGAGCTGAGGGAAGTCTGCAAGGAAATTAAAAAAAGATAATGATTAATTTAAAATTTTAAATAATTTTAATGATATTTACTCTCAAAGAATATTTCTGTTACAAGAATAGTTTTAATTTTAAATGTCATAGGGTTTGTTTCTTTTTTCAATTTCTTCTGCTAGTTTCATGGCTAATTTCGTTTGTTAAAAATAAAATTTCTTTTTTTTAAGAAGTTTTTTTCAATAACAAGTGTTTTTATTAAAAAAAAAAACTAAATACAAATGATTACAATGTAACGTTTTCTTTACAATTTAAATTATTTATTTTATTCATTCAATTGTTTCCATCCCTGATTAAGGCCGGTAACTGACACAAATCTTGTGTATAATAAAACAGACAGACACACAGACGGACATAGCTTAACCGACTTCGCTATATATAAGGATCCACAATATATATTCTATATTTGTTCAGCGCACTAGTAGAAATTACAAATGGATTGAAGGCTATAAATAAAGCATTTTTCTTCGGTAGTTATAGTTTTGAACTAAAACATTCCTAAAGTAAATGAGCGCTATGTAAATACATATTTTCTTTTTATAGTGTTTTTGACATTTAAACAAACTTAACTGTTTTGTCCTTTTGTTAATATCCAAATATTTAGGTCAATGTTGCTGCCACACACATACATACAGACATTTATTCTCACACTCTGTTGTACACAAGATATGGTAGGAAAACTTTAAATCATTTTCCGCTAACAGCATTACGAAAAGGCAAAAAGTCGTTTGGCATTTAAAATTATTGTAATGCTACTTATAGCAAAAGAAAAGGCCATTAAAAGTCTCTTAGAAAGTCATAAAATAAAGACAATTTTGGTACAATCTACATCGTGTATAAATAATATTGTTAATCATTTTGGATTTTAATTTCACGTTTTATAATAGATAATTTTTTACCTCAAATTTTGAGATTTCACAGTCCTTCTTGTTTTAAAAATATATTAAATACTTAAACTAATGTTAATTGTTTTTAAGTAACACTCCTTTTAGCAACAAGTCTCAAGGGTAAAAACCTGTCCAAAATGTTAAAAAGCAGCTAAAATTGCTTGACAGTAATTTGCGTATACTTGTTATTATTTTAGCTAACACTCATACGCCTTAGTGTATTTGTTGGTGAAATAATTATTTATTACTTATACGACACCAAGTTTAAATTATATTAAATTTATTAAAAAAGTTCAATAGCAAGCTGGAATTGAAAATGTAAATTCAAAGAAAAAAATTATTATTATTTTTAAGAATCCTCAATATCTGGAGGTTATTTTAATAGCCTTACAAAAATGTCAAACATTATAGTTAATTTTCGAACTTAATTTCGAATTTTTTAACATAATCTTGTAATCAGATGAATAAACTACTAAATTTCAAGTGGATTAGTTGTAATTAATAAAAAATTCCTAATCAAAAAAGATAATTATGAAATTTATGTTTTTTTCTAAGGATTCTTTAACCTTTAACAGCCACACATTTTTCTTTACAACAACATCAGTAAAGCTTTGTTCAACCCATCCCACCCTCAAAGACATTAGCAATAAAGATTATAACTGCGTATGTAAGTTTTTTCTTCTAGTATGAGCACCAACACACAGGAAAAATGTTAAACCAATAACAAAGGGAAACAAAACAAAAACAAGTATTGTGATATAAAACCACAAACAAAAATAAAAAAAGACAATAACCCCTTTGAAGAATACTCCGCAAACATATAGACAAAGTATAATAACAAACAGACACAGACACACTCGCACATACACATGCAATGAATTAGATGCCTAAGCATGCAGTAGCAGCATTATCTCATATAGCCTAACAACAACAGAAAACATGTGAAATACAAATACAATAAATTTTGTATGATGCTGTTCAGTGACTCTGGTAAATTTACAATAATAGTCTGCCTTTTGAATAAAAAGCTAAAAACTACTAAAATTCCGACAAAAGGAATGAAAGAAAGCATTACACTATGTACACAACAAACAAACACACATGTCAATACAAATAAACATCCTAGTCTGTGTACTTAAACACATACACAAACACATTCTCTTGAATACAAACAAATGTACGTAATGCTTATTTACTACTAAATAGTTTTAACTCAAAATGTATGGTTTTTAAACTATACAAACATCTAACATGTTAAATACTTTCAGATACTTTTTTTTTGATCTCAAGACCCCTTATATATCGAAGTAAATATCCGTCTGTTTATTGGTTGTAGATAAAGAATTTAAAATTTTTCTCCAAATTGTGTTTTTTGAATTATGACCATTTTGCAGGAAATAAGTGTTATATTTGCACACAAATAAACAAACAATTGTTTAACTGTACTGTTACACATATAAAATATAACTGTTTTTAGTGTTTTCAATGTTTGTCAATAGTATGTATGTGTGTGTTTAATTTATTTACTCTCACACTGTTGAATGTTAATAACACTCATACGCTTACATTCACCTTTAAGATTGTTCTACTCTTGGATAAACATTATACAAACATATAACACACCTGAAAGTATGCTACACAAATACCAGAAAGAAATAATCATGGTAAAAGTAGAAATTATGACAATTTTAAAACATCTACCGACTGTTGCTTTAATTAAAATAAAAAAAAAACTTTTTTTAGACATAAGAGAGTCAAAGACACGTATTTCTATGATACCTTGTTGTTTGTGGTTATTTTAAAACATCTTTAGTGTTGGGTTTTCTCGTTTCTCTGTGTTAACTTTTATTTAAACTTTTCTACCGTTAAACACAACTTTACACTCTTGCTGTCTAACAAAAACTGAGTTTTACTGTTTTAAAAACTACATATAAAGCATCTCTGTTTGTTGAGAAAAAAAGTGAGTAAAATTTGTTATTTGTGTTAAAACCTTACCTTACCTTCTCTTGTTATTGGCCAACTGTTAGGCAGCATCTAAGTTTGAAAATGTTAAGGGTTTTGGCCACTGTTAACAGTTAAATTCTTGTGTGAGTGAAGCAAGACAATAACATAATGTGCAGACATTAATATAAAAAGGCAACGTATGGCAGATAAACAAACTACAGTTGCTATTTGTTAAAGAGTATATAATTAAGAGAATACAGGCATAGTAGGCAATATTAAGAGAATGTTTATAAAGCACATATTGTTTTGTTATCACAAGTTTTTAAATGGTTTTTATTAAAAGAAATTTTTTTCTAAGAAATATTTTGAAGTAAAATTAAACAAGCTGTTAAGGTTTTATTTCAAAGAAACACTTTAACTTTGTAGAGATCAAACAACTTTTAGAATTTTAATAATCTTAATTTCAAATATAAAAGGATTATTTGTAGAAACAAAAATGATCAAAGATTAAGAAAAAATATTAAAAATTTAACATCAAAACATTTGTCTAACAAATGACCTTCAAAGAAGTGTTTCTTTTTCATTTCTAACGTTTTGCTAAAAGAAAGTTGTATGTGTATATATGAAAACTGACATTTTGTATTTTAGATAACACTCTGCAGTAATATTAGAAAAACTTTAGATAAACAATTGCACGTACATAAAACTTATTTACTTTAAAAATGCTGTAACTCAAAATTCGGGTTTTTATAAGAAAATAAGTTAAATCAAAAAGTCGACTTTTTGATATTCGACTTTGCAACTTTTTACAAATTTGAAATTGCTGACTTTTTGCCTTTATAACGTTTTTTAAAAACTACTTTTCAATCTCTTCCGCGTTTATCTACAAAATCGTTTATACGACTTTTTTCATATAAAAGAGTCGACTATTCGGCCTTGTTAGGATAAAAAAGTTGACTTTGTGTTTTTGATAAAAATTAAATCGAAATTCTAAATAGCAGTCTGCTTTTCGACCATTATTGAAATATTGAAAAGTCGACTTATCAAACTATTAACTTTTTGAAAAGTTTTATTTAAAAGTTGTTAATAAAGTCGATTTTTTTCAAATTTATTATTTAAAAATTATAAAAATTCATGAATTTATTAAAATTTAAGTTTAATCAGTTAGACAAATTTCATTAAATTCCTGTTTAAACTTTTAAAACCATTTTTCTTGTGATTGAGTCCTTTTGAGTTAGAACACTTTGCAAATAAATATGTGAAATGCTTGTCTGTCTAATGTTGAAACTGGCACGAGTTTTTTTATATATTTTTCCTGCTAATGTATAGACATAAACATTGCAGTCAAAACGTGTGGGTTTCTAAATGTTTTTTGGCTAAAACATTTATACTTAATATATTACAGTATTTCACAAAAAAAAAAAAAAAAAAAAAATAACTAGACAAAGTAAAAGTTTAATTTGTTTTATGCTAGTATTTATAAAAAAAAATTTTAAATATAGACAATAATAAATAACAAGGATCAATCAATTTAAAATTTCTCTCCCCATAAAGTGTAAAAACTATTTTTATTTCCCAAAGAACTGGTTACTGGACTAGTTCCATGTTCTCCCTAGAGAATTTGAAGAATTTTCTTAAATGTAATTGCCTACTTTTAAGGCACATTCTATTTATATAAATTTAATGTTTACCAAAAAAGAAATCCCTTAAATCGGTTGTAATAAAATCTTAAATAAATATTTATTTTTAACTTGCAACAACGTGACAATGTTTTCCTTCACATCCTACACACACACACCTACACCTTAAAACATATGCATAAACACTTACTAACACTCTTATACCTTTGTATATTAAATAAACTTTTATAAAACACACTTCAACTTAACAACTATAAAAATATAACAAATGTATTCACAACGGAAAAGGAAGGAGAGAAAAAGAGAAAGAGAGAGAGTAAATACACATACATAGAGCTCTAGTATAAAAGTGCAAAAATAACAACTTTATACAACATATAGTTAATAATATGAAGAAAAAACTTTTGAGTTATTTAAAGAGACATAAAGAGGGTGTGAGATCAAAAGCCACTTAAAGTATTTGTAAAAAGATGTTTTTGATTTCCGGTTTAGGTTATACTACG